TCTTATGTGAAATATCTTGCAACAAACGAAAATTTCAAAAAGTTTTATTTAAAAACAAAGCTAGCCATGAAAATTTACGATTACGTATTTTTCTATTGGCTATTGTTTGCAGAGTAACAGTTAATAATGAGTGGTGTCAACAGCCAGTTGTGATTTATTACTTCCGTGCAATTTTTTATAGTAAAAATAACATTAATTTTTTTATTGGTGGTACAGAGCGTTACGAAAAATTTAGAAAGGGTACACAAAAGTCATAAGTTCGGGAAACACTGCCCTAAGCCCATCGCTGTAAAAAAAAAAAAAAAAAAAAAACATATTATAGTAAATAAAAAGAATCAGATTTGTTTTTTAAAAAAAAAACATTGAAACATTACGAAAACTTTTGTAAGCATCCTCGCCCCCCCCCCTGAAGAAAAAATTGTAAAAAAACATAAATATGATTCGTAAATATGGTTCGGCAATACACACGCAAAGTAACAAAAGTAAATCATCCTAGAAACTCTGACAAATAATTAAAAAATAACCAGAAAAATAAAAAGCAGAAAGTGAAACAAATAACATTAAAGGACACTTTTAAGTCGTGAACCTGTATTTAGCTAATATTCTAAAAGTGCATAAACAGAAAAAAAAATTTTATTGAATTTTTCAAAAAATTAAAAAAAAAAATAAATAAATATCTGTCAGATTTGGGTTGTCAAAAGTTTTTTGTTAACATGTATTGCTCGCTAATTTTTTTTACTCAATTATGTTGTTTGCAATAATTTGTTTTGAAAAAATTAATTAGACACTATACACGTGATCTAAGTATAAATTAATATATTTAATATAGCTCCTAAAAATCAATTTTAGAAAAAGTTTCGCTCGATATCAAGATTATATTTTACACATTCTATTTCCTCATATGACTGAAAGAGTTTAATGCTTACATTTTATTCAATAAAAATGTACCTTAATGTAGAAGTATTATACGTTACATCACTTAAACAATCCTATTCAAAAAGAAAATATATCTTGTTTGACACGCCGCTATAGTTCATAAATAAAACAAGATTAATGTCTGCAAGACATTGCCCATTGTCCGCATACCTCTCTATAAATGATTAATTATGTAGAAAACATTTATCTCGTTATTTTATGTACATATGTATTTAATTTGCAGCTTTCTTTTAAAGAAATTATATTTGATGAAATCTTTTGCAATTCTGATTGCTAAATAATTAAATTTATCAAAGTCTTCAGTTTCATCAGGCGAACGACATTCATAGGAGTATCCCACAATGTTCTGATGGAAAAATGAAGATTTTAACTTTTTATAAAGTTGAAATTTTAATGATTTCATCACAAAATATCTATATTACAAGCTTTTAAAGGATAAAGTAAATTTGTCTGGGATATCAAAATGTGGAACAATCTTCCATTGGATGTGATTAATACTTATTCTCGAAAAAAATGCCCAGTCGCATTCTTAAAAACTGAACTGACAAAAATCAATTTCGGATATCGTAACGATAGAAGTTCTAATGTAAGTATTATTTTTTAGACTATTTATGGTTTTTCCATTCTATCATTATTATTTTTATGAATTATTTTTATGTTGGAAAAAATACCAGTTGAATTTCATTGGTTTTGAATTTTCAGCTTCACTATATATATATTTCTTTAAATTAAATCAAAACTAAATGATACTGTACGCATGCTTATTATACACTGGTGTTGAAATTTATGATAATTATCAAGGTTAATTAGCTTCATCTTTTATTATTCTCATTATTTGATTCGCTTTGATGATAAAACTTATTTCGTATAGTGGTGGTTAAAATCATTGTAAATCAAATTTATTAAATCAAAAATAAACTTGTACATCATAAAATTTATTATCACTTGCTGTTGACGTATGCCTGTTAAGGCAGAAGGGTGCGATCTATGGCCAAGAATTCGACTTCTACTACACCCATACGTCACGCCCGTTTATTGGGTGGACCCATTTATACATCCATTCATTCATCCACAGATCGTAATTTTGACCTGAATCAGAGAACGATCAATCTCCAATTCAGTACCCCCTGAGGTATTGATTTGTTATGGGAACATGGGGGACTTTGCGATTAGACAGATTTAACGTGCATCAGTCACCATTTGCTACACGGGGAGTCTTCGGCCGGCAGGGTTCGAACCCACGAACTATCGGACATGGGACCAGAACCCTACCGACCAGCCCATCTTGGCCTTACACTCACTTTAAATATCAAAAGAAAATCTACCGTTTAAACAGGTGAAGTTGAATGTACTTAATTACAATTTTCAAAATTGAAGAAATAAATTTTAAAATAATATAATTGTACAAAATACATTGAAAATGTGCAAACTCTTTATTAGATAAGAAATTAATATGTCACACACATGCACAGATATAAACATCTTAAATTACAACGAGGATGTTTAGTGAATATTCATGAACTAGGAAGCTTTTACAAACATTATACTGATTTGCACATCGTTTTAATTAAATTTTTAATCTTAAATAAACAAAGTTAGTTTGTAAGCTTATGAATAAAAAAACGACACATTAGTAACCTATTTATTAATATAAAAATTCAATCAAACCAATAAATATTTAACTCAAAAACGTTCAAATGTGATCAATTAAATTTGTGTATAATTTAATATGAAGATTGCTTCAACATCTCTCATAAAGAAACAAGCCGGACTCATCACTTAACAGAACCGGTTAGATCTTTCTTGACTTCGAATACGAACCTTAGTTGAGGCAAACATTTAGATAGAAAAAGCAAGATAAGAGATTCAACTGTTTCTATTGCGTAACGAGCTTTACTTTGAGCAGGTAGGCGAAAACCTCTGCGCAAGCTTCTTACATGGTTTTTGTTTATTTTCAGAGCAAAGATGAGGCCGCTATGAGGCAAATATTTACATTTTGGCTTTAAGCTCGGTTAACAGTTAACCTATCTAAGTCGAAAAATGAAAAGTTGACTAGTTGTCTATTTCCAGCATGAAATGACAGTGTTAGCCTGTATAAATGTTAGAGAAAGGACAATACCTAAAATTTATTTTATATTTATTTATTCAATTCTGTGGTCACTGTGAGCGGTAAATCCTTTCTTATGCAAGTTTAATGCTTAATTGTGCATGATTTTTTTTCTTTTTTTTTGTATTACCATTCTGTGTGTGCTCGCTAACAGGAACTTCGGAAACGTTTCATTTTCAGTATGAAATTATCGCGTAATCTTGTATACCGTAAAAGGGGTCTTGCCTCCTATTAATCCGTTTTTATTTATTTTTTTTTTTTCTCAATTCTGAAAACACTGTTTCATACTTTCCGTTTCCGGTGAGTACTTACTTACGATCATATATTTTTATTATATCTATTGAATGGTTACTTTATTTGTATTATATCAACCTATGTTTATACCAAATTTCCATCGCATCTGACTTCTTGATAATCAACCACATCTGAATATTTTCTTAATTTTGAACACCAGTGTATATCGCCAGCCAAAATTATGAATGAACAAAAAGCTATTTTTGAACTAAACGTATAAAAGTATTAAAAGGTTTATTATTCTATTTACTATTCTTTGTACGAAATAAAAGAATTTGCACGATTCTAAACCTGTGCGTCGCAGGACCCAATTTTTGAGGAGGACGAAATTAAGTTACAGAATAACTGCTGTGCACATGAAAAAACAATGTAGGTGCCTCACGATTTAGAATTCGAGAAAGGTGGCTTACACCTTTTTGCAGTGCTATGAGCTCTAAAATTAAATTTTAAAAAACTGTTAAAGCAAAATGCATATTAAAAAAAAATTTTTTTTTTGTGTGTGAATAGCTTATTATACAAAAATGCCAAATATAAAAATCTAAATTTTGAATTTTTTATCTCTTACGTTATTTTTCTATTGCACGGCAGAATAGTTTTCTAAATTTCACACATAAGAAAAAAATATTCTTAAATGTTTGCAAAAAATTTATTTTCTTCTTTCTTATTTTCAACTTTAAGGAATTTAAATTAGAATTCCTTCAACTTTAATTTCAATTTAGAGCTATTAATTATTCAGAATTATTAATTATTCAATTAATTTCAGAATTATTAAATATTCAATAAATTTAATAATTTTTAATTATTCAATTAATTTCAATCAATTAAGAATTTGTAATTATTCAATTAATTTCAATCAATTAAGAATTTTTAATTATTGAATTAATTTCAATCAATTAAGAATTTTTAATTATTCAATTAATTTCAATCAATTAAGAATTATTAATTATTCAATTAATTTCAATCAATTAAGACTTATTAATTATTCAATTAACTTCAATTAACAAAATGAAAATTTCAACTTTAAGAATTTTCACCTTTTTAATCTCGAAAAGTTCCCCCCAGTATTTCAGACAAAGAAAATTTTCGTGAATTATTAACCATAAAGTTCCATCAATTATTAACCATGACTTCACGAAAATTTTCTTTGTCTGAAATAATGAGGGGAACTTTTCGAGATTTCTAATTATTGAAGGGGTCATACAACGCTCCCCCCCCCCCGTAAATGGAGCCCATGAATCTGGACTACTTAGGTGTGATAGTCACATTTCTAACTTTGGCATAGTACAGTGGTTTAAGAGATAAATCAAAATGCACCTAAGCGAAACTGCTGAATTCGTAGATTCTTGATTTTGGCGAGGTGATAACAATATTTATATACTAATAAAAAAGATGGTAAAGTGCTCAGTTCAAGCAAAATGAACATTCAAGTTTCTGTGAGGCCACACTTTTCATTTTTCCCGTCCATGGTTTTAAACAAGTGGCAAAAACTGTAGTGTCTTGCTTTATAATAATTAGTGTTGTAATTATTTTTTGTTGCGCTGTAAAAAAAAATTTTAATGTAAATAAATAAACTTAGACAATCTGGGGAAAAAAGCAAGCTGAAACTATAAAAAAATTTTTTATTTGCTTTGTTTTATTTTATTCATTTTTATTTTCTCTTTAGAATTCCGATCATAATGCATCTTTGTCGAATAAAGAAGACGAAAAACAACGAGCTGGATTTAATAATTTAGGAAATACCGTAAGTATCTTAAAATTCAAAATTAACGCACTATTTTTGTAATATGCCTCTTTGCTGACAAATTGAAGAGGCGTATTTCTTTTTCTTTTTTTTTCTACTTTTAACCAATCGAGATTTGGTGAGAAGCGTTTGATCATTGTTTTACTTACATTCGCAGAAAGCTAGAAGACAGTTCTATTAAGTCAATATTTAATTTTATTTTATAACCGTCGTTGAACAGTCGACACAATTTTGAGATTATTACTACCAATATTCAAATCCATAGCCTTGTAATTTTGAACCCAATCCAGAAGACAAGGGAACTACTGAATCAAGTATTGGGAGAAATTTGCCTTCGTGGAGGACTTTTTGAGGGAAATAACCCGCATTTGCGTTACATGGAGAAGAAAACCACGAATGCCTCCCATGGTTAGCCTGCCGGAAAGGAAACTCTAACCCATGATTCGTCTACGACTGAAAATATTTTTCGTCAGCACTGTGCCCGGCTATCGACCAGCAACCGCTGGGATTCGAACCCGGTTCACCTCATTAGGAGGCGAACACTCTATCCCCTGAACCACCACGGTTCCATTAAGTCAATATATCAAAGATCACACCAAATACGTACCATACGCTTTTTTTTTTTTTTTTTTTTTTTTTTTTTTTTTTAACTTTTAACAAAACGAGATTTTGTAAGGTACGCCTGTGTAGTATGCCGCAAGTGTTATCTCAATCTCAGCTATCGTTTATTGTATAGATACGATACGCCGTACTGTTTTACACGTTATAAAATTTCCTCTGGTTAAAGTGGTCAATTCTGCATTTTTTTTAAAACGTGATACACACTTTCTTATCAACGTCAATATGTGCAATGAGTTATAACAAAAGTAATAAAACATATTCTATTTTTAAAAAAAAGCTTTTACATTTTCAGAGTGTAGCCACCCTGAGTTTTTCTCGAAATCAAAACTCAGGGAAACACTCTGAAAAAATTAAAAATGTTGTGACATACGCTTCATGAAGAAATTGTCAATTTTATAATCTTTTTTTCCACGACAATTTTTAGAATTCAGTCGGGCCGTTGTAACAGAGATATTTAATTTATACATATTTCTGGGCCGTTGTAACAGAGATATTTAATTTATACATATTTTTGATTGATAGTATTTAATTAAAAAGATTTGTTTTCTCTGGAATATTTCTGGTATGTGGTTACCTTGAAAATATATGAGCTATAAAGCGTTCTAATAACATTAAAACATCAATTACTACAATGTTACGTCGGCATAATTGTTTGTAATTATTGAGTTTAGATAGCTGTTTGGAAAATAATTTATTTTAATTACGAATAATTCATAAGTCTGTGTAAACCTTTAAAGAATTACACTCTCAAAATTTTAAAATGTATTTATAAAAGCATTCGTAGTAACATTCTTAAGAATAATCTTATCACCTTAACGGAAATTCATCATGGAAATTCTCCAAAAAATGCCCTCGTAAACAATTTAAAAATGAGACTTATTATAATATTTCTGCAAGACTTTTAATTATAGAGCTTACTGGTAGAAATAAAGTCGCATTTCGAAACTCTCATTTTCTAATCGAGTTTTATCTTTAAGTGCAGCAGATTAATTTTGTACAACATGAATTTTCATATGAAATCAGTGTGTTTTTTGAGATATTATTTAGAATTGATTAAAAAGAAAAAAAAACGGCAAGAATTTTTTTTTAAATATTTTTTATAAAAATAGTTTTTAAAAAAAAGGTCGAAGTTTAAAATCAATAACTTATTTTTACATGGAAAATTAAGAGAAAATGGATACTGGTGCACGAATGGATTATTGTGTAGTTTAAAGTTGACCCATAAATGCCCTCTCACTATAATAACTCAGGAATAATTCTGTAAATTTAAAACGCAAACATAAGAAAAGCGGAAATACATATTTGTTTCTTCCAAATGGTTTTTCCAAATGGATGTTCCTTTCTCTTAACCAACACTTCAGCTTTTAAAAGCTCTGTCTTTAGACTTCAGATATAATCACAAATATTAATGGTAAACACTTCCAGCTTGTTTCTGGAAAATTAATCCTAATCACAAAACATATGTGTTACCACTTTTTTCGTTTTTTGGAAAATAAACTGTTCTTTTGAAAGGAATCTAGGTACATATGGCTTAATTTATACGGCAAGATTTTTAAATGAGTCAGGTCTGAAAATATATTTAACGAACAAGTTTTGGTTTCGTTCATTTCAAATAGTTCTTAACTCTAATAAATATGCTCTACTATATTCGAGAACAGTTACAAACCATTCAAAACAAAATCTCACGATTTAGTATTCTATATTTAAAAAACTATTTCGAGAGCCATGCATCTGAGATGTAAATTTTAGGTCTTGAAATAAATTGAAAGCGAAATAAACTTACGTTTAATGGTACACAAAAATCCTTTTAGACTCCTATTGAAATTTTTCGGAATGAAAGCTAAAGTACGAAGCTTCGTACTTTAGCTTCTAGTTAAAGTGCTGAGCAACATATCAATTACGAGTTTAATTAAATTACATTTTTACTACCATTACAATAGAACATTATTGTTTTTATTGGTTAACTGTTGGTTTACCAAATAGCGGGAAAAAGGTGTTTCAGAAATTTTAGTTGTTGCATGGACTTGGAACTAATAAATTAAAGGTGGAACGTTTAGGCATCTCACAAATCAGTAGAATTTGCCGCAATTTAATGGAATCGGAGATGAACTTAGAATATTGAATTATACCTCGAAAACATTGAAACACTCCACACACACACGAATCGATACACATACACTATTTATTTTCTCAAGCTCAATGAATAATTAATTAGGACTGTAGAATTAACAACTGTGGACTGTAGAATTATCTGTGGACTCCATCTGTGGACTGTAGAATTAAACAACTGTACTGTTCTGTACTTTATTTACGTCGCACTAGAGCTGCAGAATAGGCTATTGGCGGCGGTCTGGGTTGTTGCTGTTAATTTACGTCGCACTAGAGCTGCACAATGGGCTATTGGCGACGGTCTGGGAAACATCCCGGAGGATGATCCGAAGACATGCCATCACAATTTTGATCCTCAGAGGAGGGGATGGCACCCCCGCTTCGGTAGCCCGACGACCTGCACGCGAAGTCGAGCACTTTACGGTAGCACAGTTTAACGAGGACCAATACCGCACACCCTCGGTCCCTACGCAGACTGATCCAAGTGGTCACCCACCCGCACACTGACCGCAGACAGTGATGCTTGGCTTCGGTGATCTGCTGGGAACCGTGTTTTAACAATCAGTCCACTGCGGGGTATAAAGAATTTGGAGTACGACGAGTAGTACGCTTACAGCCTTTATCTATATTCAATAATACGTAAAGCTATACTGTGTGCCAAATGAAAGGACAAATAGAACAAATTACATAAAAGCATTACAAAAAAAGAATAAAAGTACGGTGGGAATCAAACACGCTACTTCAACGTTTCAGAGAGCTAGGCGAAAGATCCTTCAGCCCTGGAGTCGTACACTAATAGGCTATTAGCGACGGTCTTAAATTTACCCTGAATTCGATGACAAAAATGATCCAGCCACACGTCCACACCAAAGGGCAGGTAAGGAGTAATCTTCTTTGTTAATGGAAAAAAAAAATTTTGATTTATTTTTTATTTTGATTTATGACTATTAATATATTTCTTCCGAATTTTGCAAAACAAAATTAGTATTTTGACCGATACCCAAAAATCCCATCCCTACATAGAGAGTTGCAAGTTGCCAATTTGGTTCGGTTGCACTAGAGCAGTGTTTCCCAAACTTATAACTTTTGTGTACCCCTTCTAAATNAGTGATGCTTGACTTCGGTGATCTGCTGGGAACCGTGTTTTAACAATCAGTCCACTGCGGGGTATAAAGAATTTGGAGCACGACGAGTTGTACGCTTACGGCCTTTATCTATATTCAATAATACGTAAAGCTAGACTGTGTGCCAAATAAAAGGACAAATAGAACAAATTACATAAAAGCATTATAAAAGAAGAATAAAAGTACGGTGGGAATCAAACACGCTACTTCAACGCTTCAGAGAGTTAGGCGAAAGATCCTTCAGCCCCGGAGTCGTACACTAATAGGCTATTAGCGACAGTCTTAATTTTTCACTGAATCCGATGACAAAAATGATCCAGGCACCCGTCCACACCGAAGGGCAGATGAGGAGGAGTAATCTTCTTTGTTAATAAAAAAAAAAGAATTCGATTTATTTTTTATTATGATTTATGACATAAATATATTTCTTCCGAATTTTGCAAAACAAAATTAGTACGATACCCAAAAATCCCATCCCTACATCATAGAGAGTTGCAAGTTGCGAATTTGGTTCGGTTGCACAAGAGCAACATTAGTGAGCTGTTGCCGACGGTCTGAGATTTATCCTTTATTGATACACGAAAATAATACTAGTACATTCGCCCACTGTGGTAACACAGTTTAAATCAGAGGGCAGATGGTGATAAAAAAAAAGAAAAAAAAAAAAACATCTGGCCTCCGTACCACGCTCTCCAACAGCCCTAAAATGCGTAGACTTTCCTCTCTGAAATCACCGGAATCAATCATCATTAAAGTGGATTCCGAACTACTACTGAAATTATTAAAGAACCTCAGTTCTTACAAGTACCACACGAGTGCTTAATTTAATCTGATTGTGATTGAGAGGTATATTTAACAGCTTATAAACACCCAATTCTTATTATGTTGAAATAAAGATATGCTTGGATATCCCACTAAGCCCACAAATGTATGTAAATAAATAAACGAATTAAAGTCACATTATTTAATTATTACATTTACTACGTTGCAGGCATAAATACTCAATAAAAAGAACGTTTCTTAATATGTTGCCTATTTTAAAAATGGATAACATTTATGAAGAATTAATTTTCTGACACTAGGAAGAGTGAAATTTATGTATTATTTCAGTGCTTCATGAATGCTGTCCTGCAATGTCTCTGAAATATGCAACCTCTTATTGATTACTGTGTCCGCAGTCCTTATTAAAGAGATCTCAATTATTCAAGTCCGCGTATGTATGTAAATAAATAAACGAATTAAAGTCACATTATTTAATTATTACTTTTACTACGTTGCAGACTTGAGTACTCAATATAAAGAACGTTTCTTAATATGTTGTCAATTTTGAAAACGGATAACATTTATGAAGAATTAATTTTCTTACAGTAGGAAGAATGAAATTTATGTGTTTTTTCAGTGCTTCATGAATGCTGTCCTGCAATGTCTCTGCCATACGCAACCTCTTATCGATTATTGTGTCCGCAGTTCTTATCAAAGAGATCTCAATTATTCAAGTCCATCCAGAGGCAATTTATTTAAAGGTAATTTTTTTCTTTCTATCTTTGCTTTATTATAACCCTTAAGAGGTTCCAGTGTAGATTTTATGGAATACTTTACAAACTTTTGCTTAGTTCAAAAAATATGGCTTTGAGAGGGGAAAAAAACTTCTTTTTCAAAAATTTATCTGTGATTTGTACGTAAAATAAAAACATTTAAAATTAGTTGTGCCTTGTTATATACAGGATGCATTGTCCTTAATATGTATTTTGAAATTCCTTGTCAAAAATTAAATTAGAATAGTATACACACCAGAGGTTGAAAATTAATATTTAAATGAGGAAGAAACAAAAACGCTATCAAAATTTAACGAAGTGCTACTGAATCAAAACCTGTTTGATTGCAGGAACAAGCAATCATATTGTTTTCGAACCGCTCACAAACTATTCGATAGATTTCGATAAAATTTTTGTTTTTTTCCTCGCTTAAATATCAATTTGATATACCTTATGCGTATACATTTCTGAATTAATTTTTATTAAGATTCTATAAGTATAGATAAAAGGCGGTCATTACGGCACATCCTGTTATCATTTTAATAATATCTAAAACAGTTAATAAAAAAAATATGAAACCAAACGCCATGAATGGCCTGATATGACCTTTTTTCCTTATCTGAAAGAATTATTCAATGTCAGGTTCGTTATCATCAATTTTTAGACTGTTTACTTAAAAATGAAATGACGCCATCGAATATTATTGATGTAGTTTGCTTTGCGCGGAGCATCTTTTTAAAAAATAAATAATAAAATTATGGCATATTACGAACGGAAAATGCTCCAAAGTCAGCGTTTAGTATTTTTGTAATCAAGAACTACGTAAGCAAAATCAATGTCAAGAACTATGTAAGCTAAATTGACAAAATGTTAGGGGCATGTTCAGTGTTTTTTCAATTTTTTTGAGAACTACTTCCGAATTTTTCTGTTATTTTTAATTATTATAAGATTATGCAAGTATTAAATAAATGTCACAAAAAGGTTTGTAGGACTAATACAAAATTTGCTAAAAAAACAATACATTTTTGTACACCTATAACAAAATACAATACACCTATAACAAAAAATATCAGAAAAACTTTTATAAATTAATTTTTCGTCGAATTTTTTAAGATCACATTTTAAGGAATTAAAGAAAAGCAAAGGAGTATTTTGTAATTTTTAAGAGAATGCGCTAAATATTTGATAAAATATGATAATTTGAAGTAATGCGCATGCGCTTATGCTAGCTAAAATTAGATCCAGCTTTATAAGCACCAGTTTTCTTACCCAAGATGGTAAGTGGTAAAAATCAATTAACTTTATTTTATTTATTATCTATTTAGTTATTCAATCGTAGCTACCACAATGATTTACATTTCAAATTATTCATATTTAAAGAAAGAAACATTCATTACAATTGTTCTTCAAAAGAAATATGCTATAAAAAGTTTGCTAATTTTAATTTCTTTAGATCAAATTTTGAATTTTATTAGGTAGCACTTTTATTTGCCCATGGCGCACCAGTTTGAAATTATTACGGAGTTCAACCAATAATAATGTAAATTATTATAATTAGTTATAATAACAATTATTACTATAATTAGTTATTATACAAATTATTCTTATTATAATTAGTATTATTACAATTATTATAATAATTATTATAATAATTGTTATTGTAATAGCTATTATAATAATAACTATTATAATAATTATTGTAATTAGTTGTTATTATAATTATTATTATAATAAGTTATTATTATAATTATAATAAATATAATAATTATTATTATAATAATTATAATTAGTTATTATTATACTTATTATAATCACTAGTAGGAAATTCGCTTAATAGAACCAGAACTGCAAACTACAAATGATCTTAACGTGAGATGATCTTAGCGTGATAATCAAATGCAAGTTAATTTTTGTAAAAATAGTAACATTTTACGAGACACTTTGAAAAAAACTTTGTTTTTAGAATTTGCTGAACTGGTTAAGAATTCACAAGAATCCAAGACAGCCATTAGCCCATCTAAACTTCAGTTAGAAGCCCAAAGATATGCACCCAGGTTTGCCGGTGGAAGGTAACAAAATATTTTAGAATAATTATTAGTTGAATTAATTTAAAAATACACCGTGACGAAATAGCAAAATTGGAGAAACAGGTTCCATAAAGTTTTTCCTTGTTTCATCAGAAGCTATGTTAATGAAATTGCTTAAATTTTTATTTCAATGTTAAAATAGCCCTTGAGTTTTGAAAATAAATAATAATTAATGTGAAAAAACTTTATTTTTGAAGATAAATTAATTATTTTTCTTTTTTTATAAATTGCGCATTTGAATAATAACTTTGAAGTGAGCGTTCGATTTTGCATCGATTTCACCGTTAATCCAAGGTCTTCGATCGCAATTCCTCAGTTATTTTTATGGACTTCTACATGATTTTATAAATCCTACTTTTTTTTAACACAATATTATAACAAAATGCAGAATCAAAAATTTAAGAAATGCGTGATAGTACGAATATAAGAAAAAATAGGTTTTTGTCTCCAATGATTGTTAAAAACACGGACGAAAACGAAAAAAAAAATCGCTGGAAATAAATTCTCTGATCGATTTTTATTCATGTAAGCATTAAAATCTAAAAAAAATGTCAGTTCGTAATTAAAGAGCTAAGCATATAGTCATCATTAACCGTAAAAGGTTTTCGTGGTTTTCCTCTCCATGAAACGTAAGTGCGAGTTAGTTCCATAAAAAAGTCTTCCACGAACACTAGTTTGCTTGATCCAGAAGTTCCCTTGTCTTCTGGTTTGGGTTCAAAATTACAAGTTTACGGAGTTGAACATTGGTAGTCATAAACTCAGAATTGGGTGGACTGTTCAACGCTGGTTATGAAATAAAACATAACACTCTGAAAAAAAATTTTCACAGTTCTATCTATATTACTTCGAAAGTTTTGATGTGGACGTAGATAAAAAAACATTGGTCTTAGCGGTTACTATTTTTACAAAACAAAAGTTTGACGTGAAACTTTAAAAATCTTTGATTATTTTTTTGTGTTTACATACTATATGAATCCCTTAATAAGATTTTTTTTTCTATTGAAGATAGAACTTTAAATTACATTTATACTATAAGCATGGTAAACTTTAAAAAAAAACTATGCATTGAATATTTGTTTCAGAAATTATTAAAATTTTTACAGCATGTTTAACCTGTCAATAATGTAGAATTTGTTTTTCTTGGTCTTCTACATTATTAACATAAATATCGGTCTAATTGATATTTAACAATATTTTGTACAAGTTTGTAGTGATATTGTTACTGTTACTAAGTTACTCTTAAGCAAAATATTTTTGAAATATATTCGAAAGTAAAAAAATGGATAAAAATGTTAATATATTTTTAGTTTTTATTGAAGTTTTTTTTTAAAAAAAAAAAACTGAATATCTCTTAAATTTAAAAAATTAATAATTGGTTGCCAATTCAGATAATAAGTATAAATAATCCAAAAAAATTTTTATACAACTTTAATTTAAATAATATCGTTTGAAAAGTACACTATATTTTTAATACAAAAAAAAATCTAGTAGTTAGTATAAATATTTTTTGAAACATGAGCGTTGACGAATTGTTTTAATTATTAAAAATGACCAAAATAATATAGGTAGAGAATGAAAAATAAGCTGATTGTTAAGTTAATAGTTTGATTTTACATATATTTTTCTTCCTAGGCAGAATGATGCTCATGAATTTTTACGATATCTTTTACAAGGTCTTCATGAAGATATCAGCAGAGCAAAATACAACTTTTCAATAAGTGGGTGAGCCAGTAAAATCTTATCTCACTTAACATAAGCATGAATTGTAAAAATAAATCACGCTATTTGAGGAGCTTAGTGGATGAAGGTTCTAAGTTGAGATTTCTCAGAAAAAGATTTTATTTTAATCTTACTTAACTGTAGAACATTAATTTATTTAAAAAAAACTGTTAATGTTTATAATTACTGAATTAACTATAAACATTAAATACGTCATTAAATTTCATAGATCTCAGAAGAAAAAGGCTCTAAATGACAATATTTGAATTTTCTGAAGTGGAAGAAGGTTTAAAGTGCATTTGGCTGCAAGAAGTTGATTAGAAACCATAGAAAATATGCCTCTCAGCAGCAAATTAAAGCGCCATAAGTGCGGCAAACGATATGACGTGAACAATTAAATAAGTGTTAGGACTTTTTTAGATATCACAAGTTGGAAGCGTATTGACCAGGAAAAAAAAGCAAAGCATTATCTTCATTTCATATTGTCAACATGAATGATTCATAACAGCGCTTATAAACTAGGAGTCATAAGAATTGAGAACTGCATAGCAATCCATTACCTGAAATCATGGTCATCGTACGCTCTTAGGAGCGCTTTCCCATAAAGAACTGGCCGAACATGAACATTTAAACCGGTTCTGTTATTTGTTTAAACTATCTATATTATGCTAATTTCAAATTTTCTTTTAATTATTCTCGAAAATTGCATTCCAATAGGCTCAAATTTAACTGTTTTGTTGTAATTTACTATATAACCTGTGAAAATAGAATTAAAAAAAAAGACATTGAATAAGCTAATTTGATAAATGAAGTACCGTTCCAAATGCGCGAAAAAAGCAAGGTCAGCTGTCCATATTAAGGAAGAGCCTCTAGCGGCGTATGATGACATTAAAGCTAATTTACTAAATTTTACTGAAATGTCACTAAGAATCTTCACCATTCAGCTTTTCAATCTGCATAACAATTGTGCTGTATATTGTAATTGTGCTGTATATAATTGTACAATCTGTATAACAATTGTAACTGTATAACAATTGTGCTAACTTTTTTTTTTTTAAAAATTTGCCACTGTCAAATTAAATGAACAATTATGCTAAATTATGTAATTAACATATTGTTACTTTTTCTTTAAAGAAATTTTACGCTTATATATTTATTGCAAAAACTTTTACTTCACAGAAATTTATTATCGTCAATCATTTTCGAAATTTAAGCAACAAGCTAATATCTAGCTTAATGATTGATAACCTTGTAAAACATAACCTTGATTGATAACCTTGCTTAGTAAAACAAGTTTGACATTCCCCAAAAGGCAGCCGTAATTTTTAAAATAAATTTTTTAAGCACTTAAAGATGTGAAATTGAATTAATTTTTTATAAAAAAAAGTCCAATTTACAGAATTAAACAACATGTACACATTAATATAATGGAAGAATAAAATGCTATAGCATTGTTCTTATATGCTACAAAAAATAGCTGAATACAGAATGGGTAGTTTATTAGAACAGAATGTAGGAAAAAATTTATAATTTCAAAGAAAAAAAACATTGAGCAATTTGCGATCTTACGAAAGCATTGGCAAACACATTAATATTTTTTTAAATGCCATTACCGTATCAGAACAAGCTGTGTAGTTTGCTCTCCAAAAAAAATTTGTCTAAGAACAGCATTAATATTTACAGACAATATAATGCAAATTAAAGAAATAAAATAAGTAAATGTCTAAGTTATATTAATTTTAAGGTGTGGGGTTTAAAAGGATTGGAGGGCCAAAGAGCAGTATGGGACTAAAATATTTATTTTCTCAGGCCTATGGGTAATAATCTTGAGGCAATGCTCCTCTCTCCAAAGGCGGTGTTTATAGATTTCTTTTGGAAAATCACCTTCAGAAGAAGAATGCAAAAATTTTAGCGATTTCAACCTTAACAAACATGATTGAAGCTAATTATTCTAAAGGATGTTCACACAAGATTTGAATTTTTCGCATTCGTGCAGCAAAATGTTGCCTATGAATAAATAAATGGTGATAGGGCAGCTCATAGTGCAGGGTTATAAAAAATAACACAACACGAAATAAAAACTAGTTTTTATAGTTGAACAATATTTTGAAAATTACGGAATCAATCCTTATAATTTCCGGTTCAGAAGGTCGGGACCGATTGTCCAGATCATAAGATTTAACATTGCTAGGCCTCTTTCTTCTACTTTATTTATTTTTTCTTTTTTTGAAAATTAAGATATATGTCAGCATGCTTAAAACCATTCAGGCCTTAAAGGCGAGAGCTGTATTAAGAAACTTTAGCCACATTTTTGCAAAACGGTCGTATCCTCCGGGATGTTTCCCAGACCGTCGCCAATAGCCCACTGTGCAGCTCTAGTGCGACGTAAATTAACAACAACAACAACAAAACGGTCGTTGAAAATTAAGACAAAAAATCCTTAGGTGCCAACAAACCTTGGAGGCCATTTATCCGATAGGCTAATTTAGACAAAACAAAACTGTATTCTTCATGAACAGATTTTTTATTTTATATTATAACCGTCGTTGAACAGTTCACTCAATTTTTGGGTTTACGAGCACTAATGTTCAACTACGTAGCCTTGTAATTTTGAACCCAATCCAGAAGACTCCTGTATCAAGTATTGAGAGAAATTTGCCCTAATGGAGGACTTTCTGATGGAACTAACCAGCATTTGCGCCACATGGAGAGGAAAACCACCTGACACGGTTAGCCTGACGGCAAGGATATTTCCGCCTATCACTAAGGATATTTCACGCCAGCACTCTGGTCGATGCAAGCTGTATGCGGAATGCGTATCGACCAGTCATTGCTAGGATTCGAACCCGGTTCATCTTATTGGAAGGCGAACGCTCTATCTCCTGAGCCATCGTGGCTATTATGAACCTATTTTATTTTGTTTTATAACTGTCTCGTTGAACAGCCGACCCAATTTTGGCTTTACGCCTTCTAATGTTCAACTCCGTAGGCTTGTAATTCTGAACCAATCCAGAAGACAAGGAAACTCCTGGATCAGTACCCGGTATGTTTTGTTATGGGAACATGGAGGACCTTGTGATTCGACAGATTTAACGTGCATCAGTCACCATTTTACTACACGGGGAGTCTTTAGCCGTCGGGGATCGAACCCATGACCTCTTGGACATGGATCTTGTGCCTTACCAACTAGGCTACCCCGGCCTATTATGAACCTATTAAATATATTACACTTTTTTAATTAAAAACCTAAGTTTCCAGCAAAATTATTTCGTGAATGAATTTTGAGACATTCAGTTACATTTTCCCGGTGTTAATATTAGTGTATATTTACTATTAATACATATTCAACACTTTTAATATTACATATATTATTATTATACACTGTGTTTAAAGCTACATCCTACATTTTTTTTCCATAGACAGAAAAGGTACCAAGAGTCTAATGACAGCTTCATAGGAGGTAAAATATTTTTATTATCAAGTATTTTAGTGATTTGATGAAACTTAACTAAAATGTAATTTAGATATTCAAACAAACATTAAAGCAGGAAAAAGAAATAAAATAGAAAATATGCGTGTTTGTAAGACAGCACTTCTCTGTCAGTTTTGGTTTTTCCACTGACAACAGAAAGGCTCCTGTGTGTTTGTGGGCAGTGTGTCCCCTGAAGAAGTGCTGTCCTACAAACACACATATTTTCTATTTTATCTCTTTTCCTGCTTTAATGTTTGTTTGAATATCTAAATTAAAATAAAGCAAATTTGGTTTTAGCTGCTTTAGGCGCTTTATCATTTTGATTTAATGCTTTAATTGCTAATTTACTTCTTTGTCTCTTTTTTGTTTTTGTAAATTGGGTTCATTATGATTAAACTAAAAAGTACTGAGACACAAACTTCAGAAATAATATTTTAAAAAAAATGAGATTTTTACCTAGAAATCGAAGAAAGTACCCCAAATCGAAACTCTTAAAAATTGTAATACATTTGATTCCTAAAGAAGCACTGAGGGCTAAATTCCTAATTTTCAGTATTTACTGCACAAATATTATTATCAAAAAAATAAAAAATAAATAAAAGTTACAAAAAATAGCCAAAAACAAATTTTTAAGCTTTAAATTACAGAAACTATAACTAACAAATGCATTAAAACAAAGAATTTAAATTCATCTTAAAGAAGTTGACATACTTTAGAATTTTTTTTAAATTAATACAATTAATGTGTAATTAAAATATCATTTAAATTATTACTTTATAAAAAATCGTTTCTTTTCTTCAAAAAGTTCAAAACTGATTTTCAAAATACAAACTATATACTTTTCATAAAAAGTAAGAAAATTGTTACTAACATCATATTTACCATTATATATACTACAATTGAATAAGTACAGTTATGAATGTAAGCAAAATTTTTAAAATGTAATTAGTTGATTGAAATAAACATAAAAAAAGCGATTCCTTATTAACTATCTAATATTAGTTTTCACACCAACGATTTTCTAATTATTAAAATATAATAGGTAAAATTTTCAAAAACGAAACTAACGAAACTAAATTTGTTATTTAAAACTAAATTTGTCTTCATGTTAACGCTAGTCATTGACACTCAATGGTAGTAAACAATCTTTAAACAACTTTATTATATAAAATGTGATAATATGTAATAAAACATTAATTTCGTTAAAAGTTTATTTTGAAAAAATTCTTAAATAATAAATTCATGTTAAACAAAACTTAATTTGATTGCTATAAGCTATTTTTATATTTTTATTTATATATTTTTATTTTTATCTCGAATCTGAATTTATTCTACAAAATAATGAAACAAAATTTGTTATTATGATTTTACAGCAGTTTAATTTCCTCTGACAATAAAGCTACCTTTAATACTATTCATACCGCCTTTATTATGATTAATCTCAATAATTATTCGTCTAATTTTAATACATTTTTGTGTCACATACATTTAACTTGCACCGAATGTGTATTTTTTTTCTTGATTTCCGACAGGGATGCTGAAAATGTACATTAAGTTTGGTGATTACAGAACACCCTGTATATAAATATTTAATCTCTCTGTAAAGATCACTAAATCTTAAGTATTAGGATTTCTTTCAAATTATTTCTACCATGCATGCAAAAAATTCTCGAATGTTAAATTCTCAGAATAATTCTAGATATCTTTTGCACTTCGGGTAATACTACAAAAGAAAGAAAGTGTTAATTTTTATGTCTTCTTTAGAAAAGCTATCGTTGAAGCGCTTGGGGCAAAATAATGATAAGCCACATTTTCAAATTGTTCAGGAAAGGAGTTTTGGTGAAAAACGCAACAAACTCAGATATTTCCGAGCATTGTGCTCTGCATAATAAAGTTTCATTGTTGTAATGTTTGTAACATTAATGATGCATTGTTTATCACCCATTTTTTTAAAAGTATTCAACTCTCAGTTTTTTTGTAACTCGAAGACAAATATTCATCTTTTTTCTTTGTAGATATATTTGCTGGTCAACTTAAAAGTACTTTAAAATGCACAAGTTGCAATAAAGACTCAGTTATGCATGATCCATTTTGGGATATATCTTTACCCATACCAGAGGTAAATTTTAGTTTTCTTTTTCTCTAAAATATATTACTTTAATTTAAATCTTTAAGAATATTCGTTTAAAATAATCACGAGTAACATGTACGAGGTAGCAGTTTGATTATCTGAGTTTATTATTTTATTTGAATTAAAATCTTTCAGAAATATTCTACAAATTAATTCATATACAACAATGTAAATACGATGCATATTTACCATCATTACATACTAGTGCAAGAGTCCATAATCATCAGGGAGAGTTTATTATTTTATATTAGTTTAAATCTTTTAGAAATATATATTCGTTTAAAGTAATACATATTCACTGTTATCACTAAACAGTGCTAGAGTCCACTTTTGCAAAAGAACTGTACTACTACTTTATTAACTTCTACAAAAGAAGTTTAGTGTTATTACTTTACAAGTTAAGCTAAAAATGAGAGAGTGTCTATTATATACAATGTACAGCACGCTAAATAAAAAAAAAAATTAAACACCTTAATAACTTTTGATCTAATGATTGGCTTTTTGCGTACTAAGACGCAATATTAATGATTCGAAGGAATTAACATTAAATATGCTAAAATATTTATGTAGATATTTTTAATAACGAAATTAGAGCATATTTTGTCTGAATAAACATAATTTTTTTCGAATAATTCGGACTCTTGATGCTCAAAGTATGAGCTGCTATCTAGACAATTAAGGCATAAAAGCGGTTGAAATTTCAACTTCGTAAATTTCCCTTTTTGCGCATTTCAGCATATCTCTGGAACTTTTTAAGACAATAATAATTTTTGCACTAAATTATAAATCTTGTTTATTCAAGGAGAATTCGTGACCCAATTTATAATATTTAATTTAATGGTGAGTTAAATGGTGAATACAAGTTTTTACATTATTTTAAATAAGTACTTTTAAATAACGTAATAAAAATTTGAACGGAATCGGTCAAATAGTTCTTGAGAAACGAAAATTTAAAAATACACTTTTTAAATTATTCTGAGCGGAAAAAGGGGGGAGATTAAAAAGGGGCTCAGAATTTTATCCGCTTTCCTGCCCTACGTATTGGGAACATATTTTCCAAACTACAGCACCCCATTCCTATAGTGAGAGTCAAAAATCAAAATCTGTCGGGAAAAAAATTTTAGTTTAATTAGAGAAAACACTTCGTTATCCTTATTTCGTAACTTAAAATACTGTTTGCTCAAATTAATTAATAAATTAAATTTTAGACCTCTTTAGAATTATACTTGCATCTCAATTCGTGAGATTTCGATCACGTGATCAAAATTTCTTTATTATTTTCATAAACTTAATTTCTATTATTATTTAATTTTTATTTCGCGCAATGAACAATTCTGAAATTTCTCAATCGGTATTAAATAAAATACGAAAAAACATTTTTGCAAAAATCGTTTTATGGATCAAATTAAGATAACATAACATGGCATGATAGAAAGTTTTAGATTAGCATAGTTTATTGGGCAGATATAACTAGAAACAAAAAAAAAAAAAAAAAAAGGTTAGGAATAACTTAATAAGAAGTAGTTATATGTTATAACTGGTGTTGAACAAACTACCCAATTCTGAGTTTTCGACTATCAATGCTCAACTCCGTAGCCTTGCAATTTTGATACAAATTAAAAAGACAGGGGAGCTCCTGAATCAAGTATTGGGACAAACCAGCATTCGTTTCATTCAAAATTAGACGGAAAAAAATTTATAATTCTCCTACCACTATTTTATTTTTACTAGGGTGCTGCTACCACTGGGAAAAGACAAAATAAAATAAAATACACGCAACTTTCTTGTTCAGCTAGAAGCCACGCAACAAAATAAATTAAGACATTTAAATACCCTACGGCTTCAAAACACTAAACCTAATTTCAAAGAATTTAACAGCATTCATTATATTAATGCAGTTTTAGAAAGCATAGAACGTTTTTAAATAATCTATTTTTAACAAAATTCTAATTTATTCTATTTTTTTTTCTTATATGCAAAGCATGCTATAATTTCCTTACTTTTTTTAATTATATATCACTTTTAGGAATCAGTAAAATGTTGTTGAATTATGTAAAAATGAAATATTAAATAATTGAATAAAATGAAATGAAATTTTTTTTTTTAACATTTCGGTAGTTTTCTTTCTTAAATCTATTAAGGATATCACTATTTTCCACTACAATACGCAATTTTAAAAAATAAATTTATAAATTTTTATTTCTTCCTTATTTATAATGAAATTTATTTTAAAAATATGCTCTATTTTACTTTTTAGGAATCATCAAGTTCTTCTTTGAATCAACTTTTTAACTTATTTTCTTATCCTGAAATTCTAGACGGGCAAAATAAAGCCGTAAGTATTATGTTTTTGATACAGAATTATGGATGAACTGATATCTCTTAATTTTTTAAAAAAAAATTTTACAGTTTATTTTTGTAATAACAGCCCTTAATATGTGGTTTCAAAATCCTTGTGAAAAACGGTGAAAAATTATACACACTGGGAGAAAAATATTTACATTTAAAAATTTTTAAAAAAAACGCTCTCAAAATTTGACGAATCACTTTTGAGGAAGGCTAGTATACAAAACAAAGAAGCTCTTTATAACAAAAATGTACTGTATGTGAAAGAACTCAAACACCACTCTTGTTGATTCTTATGTAAATTGAACACATGAATCTGAATATATAATTTTATTATACACAACACCACCGACCGTTTTCTGTAACTTTAGTAGCGGATTGCGTTTATGGTTTTCAAATTTTTTTTTCTTTTCAAGGTGGTAAGATCCAATTCATGTCTAATTTGGATGATAAATTTTATGCATAAGCAAGTGCCACTGTCCGGTATACATATGCTCTATATACCCTACACTGTTTTTTTTTTTTTTTTTTTTTTTTTTTTTTTTTTTTTTTNTTTTTTTTTTTTTTTTTTTTTTTTTTTTTTTTTAAATGGTAAGGGCCACTGTTCCGTTTGCCCGGTATGTACAATTCTGATTTTTTAATGTTAAGTGCTAGACATGATACGCAAATGCAGTACTACCAGTAAATATATTACATCCTTTCTGTAAATCTAATCCTGACTTCAATATTTCAAATTGGCATAACATGTTTCGATTCTTGGACAGGTTGAAGCTTATAGTCAAGATAGTGCTTGTTTGTCATAAACTGCATCCTCAGATGTTGATAAGAAACGAGATGTGGTTTTATCCTTTGTAAATTGAACCTTATGCTAAATTTTCACACATCATCTAGAAGCGCAATTTGCATATTGTTGGGAGTTGGGGTAATAATTGAATTCATTATTCAGCGCAGTTCACCACTGCCCCTAAAGGCTATAAAATTATTGAAAAGTGATAAACATAAGAGGCGGGATGTTCCAAAAGAGCCGCTCAGTAGTTCTCTGCGTAATTTACCCTAGTCATAATTACCATGTATTCGCTACGTTACTTACCATTGTCGCAATTACTAAGCAATCGCTGCGTAATTTATCATTGCCGCGATTTCCATGTAGTCGCTGCGTAATTTACCTTTGTCGTAATTACCATGTAGTCACTGCGTCACTTACCATTGTCGCTATTACCAAGCAATCAGTGCGTAATTTACGATTGCCGCGATTTGTCGTAATTACCATGTACTCGCTACGTTATTTCACCATTGTCACAATTCCCAAGCAGTTGCTGCGTAATTTACCACTGTCGCAATTTCCATGCAGTCGCTACGTAATTTATCATTTGAAGATTAGAAAGATTATTTAAACTCAGGAATAAGGATTATAATAACTTTGGAAGAAGGATTCAAACTTAGGAAGAAGGATTATTTTAACCGTTAATTTTTTTATGAAAGAATGGAAAGGGAAAAATTTCTAAAAATTGAACAGTAGGAAAAAGAAAGATTTNGTAATTTATCATAGTCGCGATTTCCATGTAGTCGCTGCGTAATTTATCATAGTCGCGATTTCCATGTAGTCGCTGCGTAATTTATCATAGTCGCGATTTCCATGTAGTCGCTGCGTAATTTACCATAGTCGCGATTTCCATGTAGTCGCTGCGTAATTTATCATAGTCGCGATTTCCATGTAGTCGCTGCGTAATTTATCATAGTCGCGATTTCCATGTAGTCGCTGCGTAATTTACCATAGTCGCGATTTCCATGTAGTCGCTGCGTAATTTACCACTGTCGCGATTTCCATGCAGTCGCTACGTAATTTATCATTTGAAGATTAGAAAGATTATTTTAACTTAGGAAGAAGGATTATAATAACTTTGGGAGAAGGATTTAAACTTAGGAAGAAGGATTATTTTAACCGTTAATTTTCTTATGAAAGAATGGAAAGGGAAGAATTTCTGAAAATTGAACAGTAGGAAAAAGAATGATTTTTTTATAATTTTTCCTTTAAATTATGAAAAAAAATCATTAAAAATGATTGTTTTCTTCTGTTTAATATAACTATTACCATAGTAAAATATATCATAGTACTAAAAGTTTTACCATAATTAATAATAAACATTTGAATAATTGTTTAGTGAGCATTTGATTAATTGATTTAGGGCTGTCATTATTGAAAAAACTTTAACCTTCAAAACAAAGTATATAGCACCATTTTAAATATGGACATTCGTTGAAAATATTTTTGTCCTGAACACAAAGATTTCTTGCTGCGTACTCGTGGAATTAATTTCCAAAATAAAAAGTTAAAGACGCGCTTTTATAAAAAAGAAAAAACTGTGTTTTTGGTTGCTTGAATTGTTTCAATTTTAGTTACTATTTCATGAAAAAAATCTTAACATTCGATTTGCAATACTGGAAACAGTGACTGATCGAATCTAGAGTGAATAACGCCAGAACGATACGCATGGAAAATGTTTATAGTATTTTAAATTTATATGGTTCGAAGTTAAGACACGTTACGATTAAAATTATTTAAATAAAAACACAATTCGTGAGAGTCACTTTTTAAAAAAAGTTACATCTCGAATGCAAAATTTAAGACACCATTTTGCATTTTAAAAACTGACAGTCACATATAAGATTTAAGCCTCAATATTATAGGTTTTCCAATGCGAAATTTCTTATGTGCACTTTGTATTTTTAAAATTTTAGTTAATTTTCCATTTAAAAAAATTATAATTAACTTTCTATATTGAGTTTTACAACAATTTTTGAAAGAAAATTACAAATTGAATTCAAATCAAAATAATTTAATCAATTTTGAAGATAGCTACAAATAGAAAATATTTATGTTCTAAAAATATAGATTCCGTGGAGAGAAAATTTGTAAAAGATTTACCTAAAATATCCATTGTTACGTTAACTATTTTCATGAAATAAAAAAGTCTTTAAAAACTGAGTTTTTCCTCTTCTTTTTTTTAATAAAGATACATTTGGAAATCAAAGAAAAGGGTGCCATTTTAAAGATAGACATTCGTAGAATATATTTATAACCTAAACTTGTAAGCTTCGATGCAAATTCCTTGATTTGTATTCATCTAAAAATGAGATTTTACTGTAGAAACTTTAGACATAATTCCATGAAAGAATAAAAAAGAGTCGACCTTGATTTGATTTTATTTTATCACCGTCGTTGAACAGCCGACCCAATTTAGGGTTTGCAATTACGAATGTTTAACACCGTAGGCTTGTAATTTTGAACCCAATCCAGAAGACAAGGGACCTCCTGGATAAGGTACTGGGAGAAATTTGCCGTCTTGGAGGCCTTTTGATGGAACTGGCCCGCATTTGAGTTACATGGAGAGGAAAACCACGAAAACCTCCCACTGTTAGCCTGACGGCTATCATTTCTCTGAAAGATCACTGTGGTATTCCTTCCTACAAGACTATCGCTTCTTTGAAAAATCACTGTGGTATTCCTTCCAACAAAACTATCACAAAAATAAATAAAACATCAAATTAAATTAAAATTTCCGGCTTTTTTTATAATATCCAGATGAATGTCTAAATGTAGACCGGAACGATAAAAAAAGCAGATATTTAAAAAGCAGAAGCTTTATGCCAATTTTTAACTAAGACAAAATTAACAAGATCAAATCGACAAGAACAAAAAAACTAACTGTCAACAATGAAAGAAAAAAAGTTATTTAATGTAATCTACATAAATGAGACAATTCAAAGTATTAAAAAATATTTTTTCATACTAAATTTTGTAAATAAATTGATATTTATAGTATTTTGCTATTTTTTCACTTTTTAATCAAATTTTTATTACATACACAATCTCATTTTTTTTTAGTTCTGCGAATGGTGTCGCCAGAAAAACAGATGCAGCAAAAAAATGGAAGTGAACAAATTTCCTAAAGTACTTGTGATTCGTATCCTTTGTAATCGGCCTAAAAGCTTGAAAAGTAGAAGAGAGAGAAAAAAAAAAAAAGCTTCATGGAAATTTTGAAAGATTATTTTCAAAATGGAGAGGCATTTTGAAAATTTTTTTCTTAAAAAATTTAATTTATAAAACTTTTACCTGCAATTGGAATGTTTCTTGCCCATAAAACAGCAGTGCGATTTTTGATTGAGAATATGAAATTAAAAAAAATAAAATATTTATTTGAATCTACATTATGACCCTGTGTTACCAATTTTCAAACACTTTTAAATAAAAAATTAAATCCCCTGAAACAGTAAACAATTTACACTTTAGTCGAATTTACAGTGCAAATCACTAAAACTGAATTTTTTTTTTTTTTTTTTTTTTTCTAGTTTCNTTTTTATTTTTTTTTTTTTTTTAAATTCTATACGAAAATAGAGTTTAATAAGTGGTGGGTAACGAATTGGAAAAAGGTAACAGAGGGGAAACTGACAGTAGATCTAAATTTTAAATGCTCTTGCAATAAGTCAATCATTCGATCAAACGGACGTAACGATAAACTAAGACTTCGCTGGTCTAATCATTAATCTCTATCTAAATTCACGCCCTCTAGCGATCAGTTTGCTTTGACGGGTGAAAGCATTTTATACTATTAGAAAATGCCCGTATGGCTAAACTACTTGTTCATTAAAACAACATTCATAATGTATTATTTGATACTCCTAAATTTTACGTTTCCATTAGAAAAAGAAGGAAGAAAATGACAAAAGGTATAGCTGCAGGGAAAAAAGTTAAAAGCAATGAATATAACTTATTTTTAAAAATTATATTTGTAATTTTTAAAAAAGTGTAAGTGGTGGATTAATGCTACTTACTACCTAACATGATTACCAACGATAATAAGTCGAATTTCAGCCAAGAAAATCTGAATTTTATAGATTTTAAGCAATAAAAACTTATTAGTATATATTTTAATTGATGTTCTTCTCCTTTTTGTATATAAGATGCATGAACATTAATTCTTTGAAACTATAACTTTTTATGCTTCAGTATCTCAGATGCATAAAAATTATGATTTTTTTAAACTTTTTTAATGTATTAAAAGTATTTTCAACTTTATTGAAAATCACTGTTTCTTGTTTTAGTAGTTGCATTAATTCATTTGATTTTTATAAATTAAAATGATTAATAATTATTAATAACAGTACCTTTTTCTCTGAGCCAGAAAAATCTAAAATTCGCTAATTTCACAGATGTAAAACAAAATTTTTTTCATTTTTTTAAAGATTCATAATTTGTAAATTTTAAAATTTATAAAAAAAAATATTACGAAACTTTTTATATCATCCTGAAATTCAATACTTGAAATTAAAATAAAAAACACAATTTGGATAATTAAAAAAAACCCGAAGAAAATTAAAAAAAGGAACATTTTTGTAAGTAAGCTGTTCAAAACATTAAATTTTTCATATAAAGCACAATAAATCAAAAAATGTTAAGGATCACTGAAATAGAATCTCTTTATATTCTGTTATCGTTCAATTAGGCTGTTATTGAAACATTTTCGTGGTTTTCATTTGTGCGTAACATAAATTCTAATTATTTTCATTCAAAAATTCTTTCAAAAGATGATTTTACTTCTGTATTTTAAATTACATACTCTGTACAAGTTACTTTGATATCTGGGTCGTGTTAAAAAGTACAAAAATAAGAAGAGCGTTTCACAACATTCACGAAGATAAAAAAAACTGTCTATCAAAGATGATAAAAAAATAATTTCAATGCGATAATGAACATTTAGCTGGAATTCTATTACCGTTAAGCAATCTGAAAAATATTTTTGTGGTTTTCCTTTGCTTGTAACTCAAAATCTGATAATTTTAATTTACATAAAATAAGTTACTTTAATAACTTTTATAAATATGATTTTACTCCGAAAGTTAGATTGTAAGTTGCTTTGATTTTTGAGTAGAGTTAAAAATTACAAAAATGAGAAATGCGTTTCGTTATATTAGTAGGATGATAGGCTGCCTATAGGATTGATTATAAATATTATTTTCATAGCAATAATAAACATTTAGCTGGAGTCAAGCAATCTGAAAAATATTTTTGTGGTTTTCCTCTTCGTGTAACGCTAAATCTGATTTTTAATTTAATTTTCGCTGAAATAAAATATTTTTATAACTTATTTAGCCAATGGGGCTAACCGCGAGAAGCTTTCGGGATTTCCTCTCTGTGTTACTCAAGTGCGAGATAGTTCCATCAAAGAGTCCTCCACGAAGGCTAGTTTGTCCCAATGTTTGATCCAGGAGTTCTCTTGTCTTCTGAGGTGGGTTTAAAATTACAAGGCTATGAACTTGAACATGACAGTCGTAAAATCCAAAATTCAATATGAGTTATAAAATAAAGTTAAATGAATAAGTTTGCGAAAGAGCGGTTTGTAATTACAGGAAAACAAACCACTTTAGATGGCTGAAAGTTTGAGCTCAAAAGCTCACGTTGGAAAAAAAAAACTTTTTTCATTTAGTCTCGTTTATCTATTTCAATATCTTCGGTAATTTAAGTTTCATATTTTCAACATTCTCAGACCATTTATTTTCGTAACTTTCTTTTTTAACAAACAGTTTCTGTCCGTATTATGGAGAAAGTAGGGAAAATTCCACACAAACTTCACAGAACCTTTATTGCTAAGAGGGTAATAACAAATTTACAATCATTATACCAACTTCATTATGTTGCATTATAATTTTTAAATTAGAAATACTTTGTAATCATTTATTGTTTTCAGGGGAATTAGATTCTAACGAAACACTTCTTGCAAGAAAACTCATAATTTTACGCAATTTAATTAACTCCTATAATCATATCCTAAAACAATCAGTTCCAATCCATATCCAACAAACACTTTCTGCCCATATTATATGGAGAACATAGAAAAATTCCCCTCACAAAACTTTTAATGCTAAGATAGCAAATTTACAATCATTATACTAGCTTCATTATGTTGCATTATAATTTTTAAATTAAAAATACTTTGTAATCATTTATTGTTTTCAGGGAAATTATACACAAAATATCTTAGATTATAACGAAAAATTTCTTGTAAGAAAATTCATAATTTTCTGCAACTCCTAAAACCATATCCTAAAATATCGGATAATTCCTTTTGCAACAGCTTCATTATGTTGCAATATAATTTTTAAACGAAAAATACTTCGTAATAATTTATTGTTTTCAGTGGAATTATATACAAAATATCTTAGATTATAATGAAAAACTAAATTTTCTGCAACTCCTAAAACCATATCCAAAAATATCGGATAATTGATTTGCACCGGCTTCCTACATTAATCACAAAATTTTTCTTTTAATATTAACATAGTGGTGACAATATAATTATTGCACGTTGTTAAATGGGAAGAGGAATACATAATTATCTATTTCCTCAAAGTGAAGAGGATGAGGGTATTTAGGAAGACCTTTTCATCTCACTTGATTTCTAGTTTTGACAATCATTTCATTCAACATTATTTCAAACCGTTTAATTTTAAATATTTTACTGTAAAACATTTAAATTGTTATACCATAAAATAAAGATAATTAATTTAAAAATTTAAAATTTTTTAGAAATTTATTTAATTAATTAAATTAATTAAAAAAAATTTAGAAATTTATTATTATTTAGGATCATGGAAAATATATGATTAGTATTTTTTTAAATTTTTGTTTGAATTAAATACTAGAGATTTAAAAAGTGGATTTTTTGAATTTATTACTAGAGATTGAATTTATTACTATACATTTAAAAAGTATATTGAGAATTATTAAATTCCATATTTTAAGTACTTTTCGTACTATAAGGATTATAGTAGACTCATTTTCTCACCAAGAAAATGTTATAAACTCAAATGGTATTTATAATAAGAGCTAATTAATTTAAATTTACACATTTTAGACGAATGTTTAATGCTGTGGGGGCCAGCGTAGAGAACCATAAAAATGAACATAACGTTTAAAACATATCTTATTTGACACCTTTTATAGTTTTAACACGGTTCCCAGCAGATCATTGAAGTCAAGCATCACTGGCTACGGTCAGTGTGCGGGTGGGTGACCACTTGGATCAGTCAGCGTAGGGACCGAGGGTGTGCGGTATTGATCCTCGTTAAACTGTGCTACCGTAAAGTGCTCGACTTCGCGCGCAGGTCGTCGGGCTACCGAAGCGGGGGTGCCATCCCCTCCGCAGAGGATCAAAATTGTGATGGCATGTCTTCGGATCATCCTCCGGGATGTTTCCCAGACCGTCGCCAATAGCCCATTGTGCAGCTCTAGTGCGACGTAAATTAACAACAATTATAGTTTTAAACACTTTCAACAAATTTTCATACTAAACAGTTAAGAATTTTTATGATGAATGTTTTCCTCACATTTATATTTAATGTATTATTTCCTATTTTTATAATTATATTGCATGTTGTATTATTTGACCAAATCAGAAACGGTTCGGGATAGCCTGGCTGGCTAGACATTAGTTCCATGTCCAAGAGGTCGTGAGTTCGATCTCCGCCTGCCGAAGACTCTCCGTGTAGTAAATGGTGACAGGTGCACGTTAAATCTGTCGTGTCACAAAGCCATCCAAGTTCCCACAACAAATCAATACCTCTGAGGGGGGCGTGATGGATCAGTGGATAGAGCGTTCGCCTTCCAATCAGGTGAACCGGGTACGAATCCCAGCGATGGCTAGTCGATACCAATTCCGAATCCGGCTTTCACCGACCACAATGCTGACATAAAATATCCTCAGTGGTAGACAGATCACGGGTTAGAGGCCCCCTGCCGTAGGCTAACCGTGGGAGGTTTTCCTCACCATGTAACGCAAATGAGGGTTAGTTCCTCAAAACGTCCTCCACGAAGGCAAATTTCTCCCAATACTTGATCCAGGAGTTCCTTTGTCTTCTGGATTGGGTTCAAAATTACAAGGCCACAGAGTTGAACATTAATAGTCTTAAACTCAAACGATTGAGTCGGCTGTTCAACGACGGTTATAAAATAAAATAATAAATACCTCTGTGTATAAATACCCTAAAAATGTGTCATATTGCCCCAAGATTTTCACGATAGAGTCTTACTCAAAATAGAGTAACACTAAAAAAATATGTAAAATTAAAAAAGGCAACAAATTTAAACATTCTTATTTAGATTATCCCTCACATTAAAATGAAAATATAAAAATTACAGTTTATTATTAAATTCGAATTTGAATTTGACATACAAGTAAATTCCTTAATAAAATAAAAGATTTAAAGCGTTTTTCAGCTTCTTCTTTCCTTAGAAAACTAAACATAATGGTGGACTGCCCTCTAGCACTGCGAAATCTTTCCGAATTTTCATCTCGCAGCTACTACAGTAAGATAATTTTTATTATTATTTTCATAAAATAAAGACAATTCATTATTATTTTCATAAAATAAAGACAATTCATTATTATTTTCATAAAATAAAGACATCAATTCCTTATTATTTTCATAAAATAAAGACATCAATTCCTTATTATTTATAAGAACAACAAGCAACACTTAGACGCATGATGTTTCCTTAGGGCTCAACCAGAGTTTTCAATACAGAGTGTCCAGACTAAATAAGGTCACCTTGATTTTTTGCCATAACTGAACTCAAAGAAAACCAGTAAGGACCAAACATATATATCTAAACACATATTTACAAGAATTAATCAACTTTCTACGGACATGAACCATTTGCTGGACATGAAAAAAAAAACTTCGAATAAGTAAAAGAGAAGGGGGAAAAAAAGTGTCTCATTGAAATAAAGTCACTTTTGATTATACCCAAAATATCCATCAAATTTTTTATCCGACTTAAAATATGCTGAGGTGATTGTGAGCCCAATTAAAAAATCCTGAAAATTTTTTGAGTAAAATCTTTAATGACGCATTTCAAATAATTTATGTCTTTATAAATTTAAATCATTGATATTTTCACTACATAAAATTCTAAATAAATTATATGCAACGTAATGTAAATTAATAATTATGTATAAGTTTACTTCTATCTCTAATCACATTTATTATTCTACCAGAAAAAATATTTACAAATGAAATAGATGTCAAGTATAAATTCTAAGTTCTAATAGTTTTTAAATAAATTATACAAGAATTTTAATACATAAATGTGATCGATAATTTCCCGAAACTTCTGTACCTTGGATTTCCGGATGGCTGTTAGCGAAAAATCCGGATTTTTTCCGGAGTACAATCATCTCTGAATATGTGGTGCATACCATTTACCAATCCCAGGAGGACAATAGCATAAATATTAAATGGCAGTATTCAATTCTGCAACAGACTGAAGATTTTGCAGCCATTTATTGCTATTAGCAAAATAATAGGTGGCCCAAGGCGGATTTTCTAGCAGGAAGATGCCTCTATTTACGTTGCAAAATCTTCACAGGGTTAGTTTTTTTGGGTAATAGGGTAAATGCCATGAATGGCCTGTTCTGTTACGTCAGTGCTCCCCAACCCTCGGGCAGCGGACCGGTACCGGTCCGTGGATCAAATCGTACCGGGCCGCCCTTTTCATTGAAACTGAATTTAAATTCCTAGGTATATACTCCAAATTAAAAATATATGTGTACCATTAAAAATTTTATTTATTTGAAAATAAAGGGGCCCCTGAAGGTAGTGATATAAATTTTTAATGTTTGTAATGTATCATTGTCTCCGATTACCCCCTGATGGAACCATCTCATTGCAAAGAAACAAGCTCAGGGTTCTCATTGATTTAACGTATTAGTAAATTAAAATGCTAAATCACTTTATATTTATTTTTTGGTGTTATATTTATTTTTTGGCATGTTTAAATTCAATAAAATTAAAATAAATCAATCAAAATAATCAAAATCAAAACAATCAGCGCCTCCACCCCCAGCGGACCGCTGCAAAATTATCAAATGCTGACAGGTCCGCGGTGATGAAAAGGTTGGGGAACACTGTGTTACGTGACCTATATCCCTAAGAAAACGTGAGGGCTATCCTCAGAACGATTGCATGTAACGAAAAGTAGCAGTTTCAGTTTGTGGCAGAATTACAAGCTGCTATAATTGAAACTAGGTACAGTATTGATGCTGATGTCCTCCTGGGTTTAGTAAATGGTACACAATATCATACAATTCAAGTCGTATAGAAGTATGACGAATATATTAGCTATAATCAGAAGTGGCTTTATTTCGATGGGACATTTTTACTTATTATTATTTTTTTTTCTTCCTTTTCAAGTGCAAGAGGTGAGTTATTCTTTGTGAACATATATTTAGGTACAGACTAAGTGTATAAGTTTGGTTCTTATTGGGCTTTTTTGCGTCTAATTGCGACAAAAATCAAAGTGGATTCATTTAGTTGGGACAATCTATATACCCAAGAGATGCACAATCAGCAGTCCGTGGGCCAAAAATGGCTACCTACGTTTACGATTTGGCATCTGACAATCTTAAATCTAATTTTTAAAAAAAAAATTAAAAAAGAAAGTGTAGAGAAAGCGAAATCCATCCTTGGAAAGAAGATGAGACATAGGCGGCATATTATTTGTCGGCACTCAAGTTTATGTTTAATAGAAATTAAATTTTTTTTAAAAAAAAATTTGATCGTCCTATTCTTTGGTTTACTTATTTTCGCTAGCAAGCCTGAATTTAATTATAAGTATTTAGTTTTGCCAGCTATGTTTATGTTCGTGTAAGCGCGGTGAAATGTATTTTCTCACAAACTTATTTAAATAAAATGGTAAAAGAATAAAGGAAACTTCCGAATCTAAATTTTGATAAAAGAAATTATAGTCTCAAAAATCGAATTACGATCGAGGCATTGATCTGATACTGTTATTACCTTTAAAAAGCGTTCTTTTTTTTGGTTTCTAAATGCTACCTTCAAAGAAGAATTTTTTCTTTTTTTTAATTTTCTGATTTCTTTTCTCTTTATAATCTTTAAATGCGCCGGAATAAATTGCTTTGTGACCTTGCGCCAATATTTGTTAGAATTTCATTAAAAATAATTAAATAATGCATCCATTCAAATTCTCACATTCCATGTATTTTAATTTATTTCTATAATATATGTGCACGTGTCATACTTGTTGCTTTCGAATGTAGAATTTAATTTCACCTTGCATTTTTACGATTGCGGCTTTACGTCATGCTGTCCCCAAAGTATTACTTTCTAGTTTTTGTTGCTAGCTTACAAAAAAGATTGCTACTCATGTGTGTACGAACACGTTCCCTCTAATTTTCTTTCAAGTACCGCGAGTAACAGAGGTCGGAAATTTTTTAGACAGGAATAAGTTAGCAATTTTCTTTCTTTTTTTTTCATTTTATAGTAAAAAATGTTCTTATAAAATAACAATAGAAAAAATAAAAATGCTAATATCAAACTTTCTACTGTGTGTTAAGAAATTATAAGAGCACAGTTTTGTATTTTCTACCATCCCTATATATATTTTTTTTTCGAACAAGAAAAAGTGTATTTTATACAGAATCACGAAACTCAACACATAATCAGGATTGGTATGATTTAAATCACAATTTAAATGACCTTATTTTTTGAAAAAGATCATTGATTTGAATCATCTGAGTTCTTTTAAAACATAAAATTGATTTAATTCAAAAATATTTTTATACAAAACTATTTATAAATACATTCTTATGGTTGTGAATTTTTTTTTTTTTTTCAATTTGATTTCATTGATGCTGAAGAATTTTTCAGGATAAATAATGAGATGCGGCTAAGTATAAAAATTATTATTTGATGGTTAAAATAAGTAAAAAAAAAAAAAAAACGTGATAAATTGACGTGTAACTTTAAAATTATATTTCTCAATTAGCTGTATGTAAAATAATATTTTTAATAAACATATATCAATTACACCTATTTAGATTTACGTTTTATTAAAATACAGAATAATGGAAGTCTTGAACTGCTAAGAGTAATTTAAAATGATTTTTATCACAATAATTTAATCTTAATTTAACATTTAGCTGAAAAATTGTGTCGAATTCAAGAAGATGTAGAGCTTGAATAAATACAACTAAGGTTTTATTTATTCAGAGATAAGTTTTTTTTAAATTAACTAATAACTTTAACGAGATTTTAAGCTAGATATATTAAGTGCTTTAATTAGATTGCTTTTTTTTAAATAGTATTAATAAATTTTATCAAAAGATGATTGATAAAAATTTGGTTTTAAAAAAAATCCGATTAAAAAAATATATATATATTTGCAAACTTTGATTGTTATTCATTATTCTACAGATTCCTATTCTTTATACGGCGTCATTGATCATATTGGAACAAATCATTCTGGCCATTATATTGCAAAGTGTAAAGATCCTAAAACAAAACTATGGTACGAGTTTAACGATTCAAGGTAAGATTTTATAATACTTGCATTCTTAATCGTAAAACTAGTGCCTCAGTTACAGAAAAAAAAACAAGACTTTTGTAATGGTGCATTGTATACTGGGTGTTCTGTAAAAACCACCCATAATATAGACACTTTAAAATGCTTGTCAAAAAAAGAAGCAAAATTGAAACAGAGGTCGCAAATCAATATTTAACACGTTGAATGCCACGCTAATTTTACGTGGTTTGCCCGTCTGGCCAAACGGTAAATAACTACAAACTAAATTTGCAAATATTAGACAGATTTTGCTAGTTTTTTATAAGGTTTAGCAAGACATATCTGAAAAAACGTGGTGAATTATATAAGCCTACGAATTGTTTAGAAACAGTGGTGGATAAAAATTTTATTAAATTGAATTTATGAAACCAATAATCACAATTAATAAACTACCACTTGAAAATAATTAGTCGCTGTCAGGAGCAAGTTGGCAACGCTGTGTATATAAATAAAACTATTTTTGTGTGTTCTATATTGCATTAATTTCTTCAAACCATTTTAGTAACGATAATAATATAAAAAAATTAAAAGCATGAAAAATTTACTCGAATTATGTGTTTCTTCTTCGCCGGTCACCGGTGACCCCCCGAAGGAAAAAATTAACGAAATCTAATGAATCACTATAGTTTAAAATGTGCAATAAAATCGAAACCACTAAATATAAACCAAGTGCTTAGTGAATAATCTGTGATTGCTTAATGAAACCTTCACTTACTATTTACTCAATCAATCAAGCAGGTTTTGATGCTTTTAATCTCATCTTCCTCAACAGTGATTCGTCAGATTTGATAGCGTTTGTCTTTTCCTTGCAAAATTATGAAGAGAATTCAAAAAAGAATTTTTACACGATTACGAAACGCACTGACTTAATATGAATAATTAAAAAATAATAATAAACAAGTTTAGAATAACTTTTTTATCAATATACTGAAATGAATTCGTGGCATATAAGACAAAGTCAATCATATCTTCCAAAGATCCGTGCTTTAAATAAGGGGGGGAAATTCAATTTTCACTTAGAAGAAAGGTCATTAATGCAATAAAATATTCTTTAAAAAAAATCTATTAATTAAACTTAACATTTTTAGTCATTTTTAAATAATACGCAGAAAATTATAAATTTTAATTTTTAGCAAAATGTAAAATTCCTTTAATGTATTTCTTTACACTCAGCTAATAGATTAAGGTAGTTATATGCCATAAAATTATCCAAAAGATTATTTTAATAGAATTTCTTATCTCTTCTTATGAGTTTGCATTGCAATTAAATGCTCCAACTAACAAGGGTAACTCAGTTATATTTTTACACAGGCAATCGCGTTGTTAAGGTATATACCAAAAGAAAGAAAGTTTTTTTTTTAAAGGATAAAATGGCAACAAATGTTGCTCAATATATTATTGAACGCTGGTTCGAAAGCGATTAAAGGCAACATTCTACCGCCAAATTCAAATTCCTATTCATCACCTTATGAAACAAAAAGAAGTACACGGTTTCATATGCTGCCGTACAATTGAAAAAACAACGTAAGTGCTTCACGATTGATTCCGAGAAAAGTGTCTTGACAACTTTTCTCCTTACATTGCTAATGCTATCTATGAACGCTAAAATAAAATTTCAAAAAACAGATAAAGCAAAATTTATTTTTCAAAAAAAATTTTTTTTTTTTTTGCAATATGTAGCTTACCATATAAAGATGCCAAATATATAAAAATTTCAATTTTGAATTTCTTGTCGCTTTTGTTGATTTTTCAATTGCACGGCAGCATAGGTAGTCTGCTCAAAAAGTAGACCAACTACGCCTAACCCTTTCGATGGTTTTATTAAGGAAGCATGAAAAATAGTTTTAGTTTCCAAATATATAAACTTATGAATATACGGGGTGTTCCGTAATTATGTATTTTTAAAACCTATCAAAAATGAAGTAAATAGTCACATTAGTGGTCGTAAGTTTATATTTAAGTGTAGAAGAAACAAGATCATTATCAAAATTTATCCTATCACTGACAATCATTTTGCTTGTCAGGTGAAGTTTAAGAATGTCCCCATGTTTCAATTTCCCTGTTTCCTCTCACAATTAAGGTCTTGCCTTCCTCAGTTGTGATTGTTAGATCTTGATAGGGTTTCTTTCCTCTTATAAACATTACTTTCTTACCCTTAATGCGCATTTTTTTTACTTCTATTTTGAAAAAGATTCTAACCCTTTAAAGTTATTACCACTTTTTTCTTAATTTCCGATAAAACTTCTCTAAGAGCCGCGATGGTTCAGGGGATAGAACGTTTGCCTTCCAATGAGGCGACCGGGTCCGAATCCCAGTCAATACGAATTCCGCATCCGGGCTTGCACCGACTACAGTGCTGACGTGAAATATCCTCAGTGGTAGACGGATCATGGGTTGGAGTCCCCTTGCCGTCAGGCTAATCGTGGGAGGTTCTCGTGGTCTTCCTCTCCATGTAACGCAAATGCGGGTTAGCTCTATCAAAAAGTCCTCTACGAAGGCAAATTTCTCCCAATACTCGATTCAGGAGTTCCCTTGTCTTCTGGATTGGGTTCAAAATTAAAGGGCTACGGAGTTGAACATTAGTAGTCTTAAACCCATGAAATTGGGTCAGCTGTTCAACGACTGCTATAAAAAGAATATTTTAAGATCGGGATAGGCTGGTTGGTAGGGCACTGGGCCCATGTCCAGGAGTTCGATCCCCGCCGCCCGTGTAGTAAATGGTGACTGATTCACGTTAAACGTGTCGAGTCGCTAAGTCCTCCAGGTTCCCATAACAAATCAATACCTCTGAGTGTACTGATCCAGGAGCTTCCTAGTCTTCAGGATTGGTTCAAAATTACAAGGTTATGGAGTTGAACATTAGTAGTCGTAAACCCAAAACTGGGTCGGCTGTTCAGCGACAGACATAAAAAAAAAAAATTTAAGAAAGAATTGCTCTATTTAATATAGATATGAAGTCAAGCATTACTGGCTGCGGTCAGTGTGCGGGTGGGTGACCACTTGATCAGTCTGCGTAGGGACCGAGGGTGTGCGGTATTGGTCCTCGTTAAACTGTGCTACAGTAAAGTGCTAGACTTCGCGCGCAGGTCGTCGGGCTACCGAAGCGGGGGTGCCATCCTCTCCGCAGAGGATCAAAATTGTGATGGCATGTCTTCGGATCATCCTCCGGGATGTTTCCCAGACCGTCGCCAATAGCCCATTGTGCAGCTCTAATGCGACGTAAATTAACAACAACAACAACAATAATAATATAGATATGTATTATTATTTCTAATTCATAAAATCTATAACAATTACAATAACATTTATTTTCAGGGTCACCAAGGCAACTGATGTCATCTCCAGTAACAGCTATATACTTTTTTATATACAAGATTAAGTCTTCCACAAAATATATTTAATTGTTAAAAAAATTAAAAACTGTATCCGAGTTCTTTTCTCATTTCTTATAAGCATTATACTCGCCAAAGGATATTTAGTTACAATAATGGCATAAAAGTAAAAAGATAATAACAAAAATATTCATGTACCACTTGTCAATAGATGTGACCTTTGCTATACAAATACTTGCCACGATAAGATATGTGGAACACTCTTTATCAAACTTTCCTTGGTAGCAATGATACTAATTGTTATTCATATTTACAATCTTTCTTGCGGGTAAATAATCCTGCTTTAAAAATTTCTTCAAATCTCTGCAAAAGCCTTAAACTCTCTAATATAAATGTGCCAACTTTCCAAACAAGTTATCAGCAATCAGAAAAACAACTCAGAAATATAGTTAAAAGAAGTTAGCATTATCGCAATTTAAAGGTGTTTAGATTAATTCAACAGATAGAAAATATTTAACAGAATTATGCATGAATTTCACTATTAAATAAAGAGTAGCACTCAAACATAGGTACCAAATTAAAAAATGCCTGAAATTTTTTAATTGACTTTTTAACTTCATCATAAAAGGATAAATTGTTTACTTGTAGTCATTCTAGTTTTTGGTTAAATTAGACCCAATTGTCTATTTTTAAAAATAGCTAAAAACAGAAAGGAAATATGAGATAGTATTCTTTTCTTTTGCTTCTAACGAAGCATTTTTATTCTTTATTTCTCGCTTTAAGAATTGTACAATAAGTAGGTAAAAAAAAAAAAAACTATTATAGATAAGCTGCAAACAAAATTTCTTATTATTGATTGTTAAGTGTAAAATATGTATTTTAAACAAATTACGTAAAATTCTTAAAAGACGTAATTTTCATTACTCTACCGTAGGATTATGAAATCTTAATAATTACGGATAGATCATAATAGTTAGCACTTCTGCTATGATCAAAAGTCTTATTAAATTACAATCTTTTCAGGCTTCCCACTAAATTTCACCCCACAGTGGATTGAACGTAAGACAAGTCAAGCAACACTAACAGCGGACCGTGAGCGGGTGGGTTACCACTTTAATAAGCCTGCGAAAAGAACGACGCTGTATCGGTCCTCATTAAACTGTTCTACCGTAAAGTACTTTACCTCACCTATAGGTCGTCGGTCTGGGTCTGATTTAGAAATCCGGAGGCCCTAGGCATGGAATTGTCGGGGGCAGATGGTCTTCACATTTACACGTTAATAACACATGTTTACTGTACACATTTTATAACTTGAGTAAAGTAACACAAATAATAAAAAAAATTGTTTTTACTTATTTAAATTATTGTCGACTCATAATTCTCAAGAAAACACAGAAAAAAAATATTTGCAACCCCCAGACATGTTGGGGCCCTAGGCCAGACCTCTCGGGCCTTATGATAAACCAGACCCTGAGTCTAGTTACTAAAGCGGGGAAAGGATCAAATTATGATTGTATGTCTTCGAATATTCTTCAAGGATGACTTTTCCGTAGCTTATAGTCCATTGTTTCGCTCTAGTGCGTTGTAAATAAAGTACTATTACCCACTCAATTTCAGAAATAAAATTTTCAAATTTTTCCAGGAAAATTTCTACAAAATTATAGACGACATTTTAGCCTCAAACAGCAATATTTCAATGGAAATATTTTCCAGGGTGCTTAGTCAAATCATTCAACAAAAAATAACCACCTTTTAAGCACTTTTCAAGCACTCAAAAAATACTTTTAAGCACGTTGAAAAAATATCATTAGGCAAGGTTGGAAAGTTTTTGACAATTGACGGTTTTATCTTTTCTTTTGACATGACGGTTAAAACAACTTTTGGCATTGTTTTTGACAATTGTCAAAAATCATGAAATTTTGAATCATGTAAAACGAATGGCGTTTTCATACGCTACGGACTGACAATACAATACGTCAAAATAGATTGGGGTTGAATTAATTGTGAAAACGTTGAATAGAACAATGTGAACAGTTTTTTTTTTAATTCATAGCGAAAATCAACATAGTAAAGGAAAAAATCTCAGTTTGAAAAAGGGAAAATTAAGCACTTTTTAAAAACACCCAATGAAAAAAGCACCATTAAAGGCTTTTAAAAAACGAAAATAAGCACTTTTTAAAAACGATAAGCAACCCGTTTTCTAATTCAATGAAATTTCTTTTTGATAAAAATGAAACAAATTTTAACAGGCGACGGTTCCACATGTAAGGCTAATATTACACGAGTATATAAACACGATAGATAGATGCAATATTTTGTACAAGAACAGAAAAATCTAAAAACAAATATAACATTTTATTAATAGAGTCGCATCAGCCCTAAGGTCATCATATATGTATCTAACATGTGATTAAGAACCGAAGTTGATTTATACAAAAATCTCAGTTGTTTTTAAAACATAATTATAACCAACCAAGAGAATAGTATTATTGAACTGCAAATATAGTTGTGCCTAAGAAAAAACTTGAAACAAGAAATCGTTAAAAAAAATTTACCTATTATTATTCTGATTTTAAAAAAATGGAAGAAAATTTAATCATGTTGTAGCCGATAAATATTTTTTTACACCAGAAATAAGAATACAGGTGTTAGACATAATTACTTTGAACCACATTGTCTTCATACTGTTAACTTGAATTTTAAGATTAGTTACTTCCGAGGTTTAGGTAATAAATACATCATTCCCAAAAATCAAATTCTGTGATTGTTCCTTGTTTCCCCGACCCAGTGGAAAAGTCGGAATTTGGGAAGTTTTTAAAGCTCTTGAATGCAGTTAAACAGGATAACTGATTTTGCATATCATATTTCCCTTTAGCTTTCTGCTGTTTCCTCACTATGACCACCGCAACAGCTTCTAGCTGGTCTTTCAAAAAGTAAGAGGTTTAATTTTTGTTTATGTTCGGGGCATTTTTTCGCAACAGAACAATGCAACATTTTTAAGTTAATATGGAGTATGGTCATAAATACTCCATTCCGATTCATATGAAATGGGTTAATTATAAATTTTTGAAAAACCATGGACCAAACCATTCCATGGAAACAGTTCTGTGTCAGGGAATTTTCCTTAGATGACAGCACAATACACAGAAACATCTTATGGTTTATATGGAATTGGAAAGAGAAACATTAATTTGTAGTGATTTCTTGCAACTTCTTTTGACGTTTATCTAGTTAAGAAAAAGTTCAAAAAATTTTTAAAAAATTATGCGCGAGTAAAAAGTTGACAACTAGATTTGTAATAAAGTTACATTTAAAAGAAAAGCTAACTTAATTTCGAGTAATCTTAACATATTATTCATAACTGTCTCGTAACTTGCAAGTACTTCATCTTAAACTTTGGTTTATATTTTTCCATCTTGGCGTTAGGCATTCTTTAATGAAGAATTTTTTTAATCAAAAATTCTTACGGAACAAAGAAAAAAATTAGATTATACATATGCCTAGAAGACTTCCTAAATCTTTTTTTTTTTCTAAAAAAAAAAAAAGAAAAAGAAGGAATAGATATTTATGAAATTATTAATGTAAGAGCTTAGAATTTGAATTTTTCTTTACTACTGATAAATTTTGTAAAGAATTAGAAAAGCAGGGTGGTCACTATCCAGACAAAAACAAATTCAAGGATAGAATGAGGAATTTTAGATTCAAATTATTTATATTAGCTGGTCTCTAATTGTATAATCATTAAAAATCTCATATGTATTGATATGAATTAACAATTAATGATAAATTCAGAAAACTGTTTTAGAAATATAATTGTTTAATTCTTCCATCTTAGTTTATTTTTTCGCACCTAAAATTTCCTTATTAAACCAAATTGAATAAGCAAAACATTTATACATTAAAACATCAAATATATAAAATTTATAATCCTTATTTATTGTATTTGTTATTAATTTTTTATCGCAAGTTCAAGATTATTTTAAAATTTTTACAATTATCTTATTGTTTTAAAAAAAACTTTTAATTTCAATTTAAATAATGCATAGTTAATTAAGTGATGGAAAAAAAACATTATAAATTACTTATTTATAAAAAATAGTACTGATGAGGGAAGAAAAATAAATGATAGTACCACTCATTAAGATAAAATTTAGTCTTTTTAATTAATTTTAATGTCTAATACTGGATATAAACACGCCTGAGTTTAAATTACGCATGATTATTTTATAAGTGGCTAATATATAACTAAAAAAATTATTTTAAAAAAATCCACCCGAGTTCTTTTTTAAATGGGAAAACCCAATTATTAATTAGGTGTGATTTTTTTTCCTTCAAAATTTGCTGTACCAGATGAATACTTGCAACAAAGTTGTAAATTGTCATTTAAACTAAGACTTCCAAACAATAAAAGATGAATTAACTTGATATATACATATATATAAATTGATTCAACTTGTTTCTTGAGTATACATAATGTGCGTTTAGTTAGGATGGAAAAATGAAGCGTCTGCACCTATGATTCGGACACTTAGAACTTTGGGCATTGTTTTTAATTTTTATGAAATTATTATGTTTATTAATAAAATTATTATTAATGTTTATTAATAAAATTATCCTTAAAAGGGTTAATTTTGATTAATTAATTTAAAATTTTTTTATATCTAGGCAGATTTCAATGATTTAAACTATAATTAAATAAATTTGAGTACGAAAAATTACTGGTTTTATAAAATTATTTAAGCAGCTTGAAAAAGTTATTGAATTTTTTTCAGCTAACTCTAAGAAATAATTTGTAATTTTTTTAGTGAAAAAAAATTATGTATCATTAAACAATAAACATAATCATTGGTGGCCCAACAGCCTTGGGTGGGCATTGGCCTTTTTTAGATTTTTGCAGACCACTCTTTTGCTGGCAACTGACCTCCAGTTCTTAACAAAATAGTCTGTTCATCGCTTTTTTGATCTGCCTCTTAGGCCTTTTATTATCGGGAGTGGAATTGAAAACTTGTAAGGCAGTTCTACTCAAATCCATTCTTAGCAGATGCCCAGTTCACCTCATTCTATTTAGTCTGATTTTATGATGTCATCATTTTTAGATAACTTGCATCTTTTCCTCTATACACCATTGTCATAAATTCCACCAAAGCCAGTCTGGGGACTCTTCTTTCAAATATAAAGAGAATATTTTTTTCTTTTGTTGTGAGGGTCCATGTTTCGGAGCACGTGTTAAAACTGATTTTATAAATCTTTATAAAGAAAAAACTTTAAGCAATACTTAAGTTTTCTCTTAATTAAAAGTAGGACATAGACTTCTGAGTCTAATAAAAACATTGATTAGCTACCAAAATTCTCTTCCTTATTTCCACATTACTTCATTTTGACAATTTCAGATCCCAAATAGATGAATGTTTTAAAGATTCAAATTTACGGTTTCCAATTTTAAAAAAATCATTAGAGTTAGTGTCTTTACCACAATACATGTATTTTGTATTATCTTCATTGATTTTTAAATTAATTTTCTTAGTGGCAGATTCCAGTGCTATGAAGGATTCCTTTAGTACTTTTTCTGATCTTGCACTTAAATCTGTATCTGCATATACCAAAACCTGAATAGTTCAACTAAAAATAATACCCCTTGCATTATAATACCCTTATTAAATAATGCCCCTGTATCTCTAATTACTTTTCTTAAGGCTACATTTAAAAGAAAGCATTTAAGTTAATCTGTCTAACACCGATTTCAAGGGATTTTGATAGTTCACCTAGAATTTGTACCTTAGAGACAGTTTCAGTAACCAATAAACTTCACTAATTTTGTAGACACATTAAACTCTAGCAACACTATCAGCAATTCAATTCTATCTATACTATCAAGGGCTGTCTAAAATATGTGTCTTTCTATGCAAATTTCTACATTTCTCCTAAGTTTGTCGAAGGATGAAGATTTGATCCACTATGGATCTTCCTTTTCAGAAACTTATTAGAAAACATAAAACTTTAAAATATACATATTTATGAAACTAATTAGTAATGAATATTTTACCACTGTATTGAAATTTATAAATTTATTAGATTTTTAGAATTTGTAAAGTTAAATGCAAATATTGAGATTCACAATTTTTTGATATTTAAAATTGTGAAGAAAGTCAGGGAGGAAAATTACATTGACAAGTTTATTAGAACAAGTTTTTGAATTTTACTACTAAGGATGCAAATATGCCGTTGTGGGCCAACCTTGCAAAATATTCAGTTAGGCCTCATTATTTTCTTGTTTTCTATTAATAAAATGGTTCATTTAAATGGGTTTATTAAAAGAATTAATGCTAAAAAGTTGAATTGGAACTATGAATGATAGTTTGATTAACTATGTAATATGTCATGTTAAATCAAATAATATGTCATGTTAAATCAAATCCTATTTCAGGAAAATACAGGCCATGCTAATCTTCAGGCATTATAAATCGTTCCGTTTTTTTTTTTTTTTTCTTCTTAATTCGGCTTGATTTAATCCTATTAAATTGTGATTCATTGTGATGAATATTTTTATAGTTTAAGAAATGAAATTATGCTAAAGAAAATTTATAATTTTTGAACCAAGAAGTTTCATACATTTGCAACTTATAATTGCAGTAAATATCCAAAATGTTTTCTTTCTCAATGTAACACACAAAAACAATTTTTTAATGTTATCAGAATATTCCTATCGGCCAAAAAACTTAATGATATGGTTCCTTAATTAACAAATATCTTGATTTCTTCAGTAGTCCTCAGCAGAAAATAAACTAAAAATATACAAGTGCTTTTTAACTATAAATTATTTATTTATTCTTTATTTAAAAGTATTTACTTGTAATATTTATTGATCATCCTTTCTTACTTAAATGTGATTTGATTTTTAATGTTCCAAATTAATGGTTTAAAACTAAAAGCTTTTTTTGTTTGTTTGTTATAAAGCACTCCTGTAATATGCAATTTAACCATTTTGCAATATTAAACAACATACAAGGAATACAAAACTTATTATAAATTAACTTTACACAATATTATTGAACAATCTGGCAAAAAACCTTTAACTTATTCTTCAGTAATCAAAAATTGAAGAGAAATTTTTAAAAAAAATCAGTATATTAAGTTTTAATGATTAAGTTTAATCCAATAGACTACTGGAACTAGTTCAAGTTTGTGTTAATGCAATAAATTTTTTTTATAAACCTTTGATTGAGTAATTATAATTTTTTATGTAACAATCTGTTTGTCGTTAAAAAATAATAGCGTAAAGCTTCCTGAAAATTTTTTACATTGCAATAAAAACAAGTTATAGTTACTAAATACTATTTAATTTTTAAGTTAGCAGCAAATCCTGCAATTTCATTAAATACCCAAGAATAAAAATTTATAAAAATTTCTGAAAAAAAAACAGAAATAGGACTTTTTTTCAAAAACCTGATAAAGGTTTTGGTTTTTGACCAAATACTTAGTTCTGTTTTTTTTTTTTTGTTTTTTTCCACAAATCCTGTCAAGAAGTTTTCTGGAAATGTAAAAACCATGTCAATATTTAAGTACAGTATTAACATAAAATCTCACCAACATTTTAGTTATAAATTTACATTTATTTAGTCAACATAATTATGTAATCTTGCAAATCATCGGTAGACATAACATTAATATAATCACTTATATCAAGCAAAACATGTACTTTGAAGTTAATACCCTCTCAGACAATTTAGGCCAAAAATCCTACATTTATATATACAAAAGAAAACAATGAATTAGGATTAAAGTTTAAATTCAATTATGCTTAATTTTAGAACATTGTTTAAAGTGATTAATAACATGTAGGGTGAAAAATTAAAAAATATTATAATAACAAAACACATTGCCAAAAACTATGAATTAGTAGCAAAATTTTAAAAAAATTCAGTGTCTTTTTAGCATAAGAACTTAGTTGAAATGGTTAATATTCAAAAGAATAGTATTTTTCTAAATACAGAATTTCATTAAATATTAATTTATTATTGCAATACCGATAATATATTATTTATTTTAGTACTTTTTAAACACTGGATTTTTTTAAAAATATAAGTTTACTACCAGAGATAATTAAAACATATGATATTGAGGAGAATAAATAAATAAATAAAAATCACTTCAATTATCATTAATTTTCTCATTTGATTTGATTATTTGCATTACATTAGGGCTACACTATAGACTATTGGCAATAATATCGGATTCAAGTGGTAATCTGTCGACAATACAGTCACATATTTTTTTAGAAGATAAAACTCATCATTTTAACTGAAACTTTTATAATAATTTTTTTTGCAAAGAGCAAGGAAGTAGAACAAAATATCTTGGTTCCATGAATAATATATATTAAGTGAATTTTTGATAAAGATACATAACATATGGTACAAATTATGCATTTTACATTAAATTTACAATAATTTATATCTACAATCTTATAATAAATATATATTGAGTAACCTGCCTAAAAATAATTTCACTCATTAACATATTAGTAGTTATTATGAAAACCATCAATTTACTTTATTAATAAATAAATTCTTTTTAGCTGTCTCGTAACACAGCAGATAGCACCTTGATCAAATATATTAACTTGTTTAAAACTTTTTTTTTATTTCAGAGCCAAAATGAAGAAATAAGGGTTTGATTAAAAAAAAAAAAAGAAAAAAAAAGCTGAACTTGTATAGAAAGCTGCAGCCAATGAAAATACAATAACACAGTGAAACATTAATACTAAAAAAAAAGACAGCTATTATTTATATAATATAAAAAGGTTCATATAACATATTTAAACTATGTTTCTCAACCTGTTATTGTTATAAGAGGTAGAATAACAATATTAATAAAATCCATTTCTTCCTCAATTATGTCATTAGAAGAAACATTTTAAAATTAGTTAAAGATTAATATTCAGAGTATTCAAAAGAAACAAGATTAAAAAAAAGTCCTAACAATCTTCGCATACTATTTGACATAGCTAATATGAAAAATAAAATAAAATAAATTATAAACTAATGATGATAAGATGATAAAAATTCGCAATTGACAAATGTAAAAATTCCATAAAAGATGCAAAATATAGTAAAAGTACCGTATTCCACTGTATCATCCATTCTGTTGTAAAAATCAAAGGAAACCATGTTTTTTGGCACTTCCTATTCTAGTCTGATTAAAATTCAAAGGAAAGAACAAATCAAAGGGTTGAACAAATAAAATAGGCCATCCATGGCAGTCAAATAAAAACAATAGAAGCTGCAGAAAAAATTTTTTAAGTCAAAAATTATTTAACAGTTGCAATGAATTTCATCATTAACAGACCATAAAGTTTGAAAATAGTTGCCGTCTCCAATGAATTTATCATATTTTATATAATTTTAATTTGTCGAAAAAGAAGTCATTAACATTATAAAAATTTCAATTTTCATTTAGATTAGGACTAATTTACACACCCTAAAAAAGCAGTGTTAGGTTTTTTAACATGCAATTGAAAAGGAATTTTTTTTAATATTAGAATTGATGCATAGGAATACGGTAAAAATTTATACTTATCCGGCTTCAACACTTTTTCACTTTGCTACATACATAAAAAAAATGTTTTTCTTTAAGCACAAATAATAACTATACAGTAAGAAACAAAACATTCTTTCAAAATAAAATAATTTATATACTAGTACTTCTTTACTGGGGGAAAAACTAGTTTAGAAAATAAAATCTCGAAAGAAAAATTCTTTAAAAAGAAAGATTTTGATTGTTTGACATAACCTATCAACACATAAAACGCACACAGTTATAATTTTTTAATTTAAGACTTTTTTCAAAAAAAAATATAAACACCTTTTTACAAGTTTAAATGCAAACATCTTTCATACAATAAAACATAGACATAGTAAGACAAATATTTTATAGACACCCTGAATAAGAGTGAATGTAGCTACAGTCACACAATATTTAAACAATGTACAGTTTTAAAAGGATAGGATTATTCCAAGCTAAATTATCCAACAGGGACCTGGAGCTAGAGGTCTAAATTTTCTCACGCACCAGGGTTCTGGCTATTTCATTGTATCCTACAGACCATTAAAAAGCCTGCCGCATTGTAACGACATTGCCCATTAATCAAGTTGCTGTAGACTATTCTCTGCATTAAAATACATTTATAATGATTTATGATTAAATATGAAGGCGGATTTATTAGATTTAATACTAGTCTTAAGAATGAACAAATAACTTAACGGTGAATTAAACAAAATTTATATTTCTTATGTGAGCTGTTTTGTTACTTTTATATTGTCCGTTTTAAAATAAAAATTTCAAAATCTGAAACTGAAAAGTGCATAAATATATAGTAAAATTTGCAGAGCTAAAGCTTCAGCTTATGTAGGAGTGGAGCCGAATCTCCAAAAAATTTTCAGCTCTAGGTCCCTGTTACCCAATTAATTAAAATAATTACCAACCTTCCAGTTTGGATTAGTTTTAGTACTATACATAAAATACCGAGCAATAATTTCAAATATAATGGCTACACAGCAGCAGAATTGTAATGATGACTTACCCTTCAAACATAAGGAACATAATCATGTCATTATAAGCCGATTCACATTGCCTCTAATTTTGATGGGGGGAAAAATTGCTATAAATAAAGAATATCTTTACTCAAATTGAAAAAGATGTTTGAAACAAGAGCAATGTGCCTATAAAACCTTAGAAGTACATGACCATGTTCTACAATGTTTAGAAGATAATAGATAATAAAATAAGTCAAGGTCCAAAAAGTTACTTTTTTAAATAAATTTATATGTTGTGTTGGGTGCCAATTTAAATGTCAAATAGAAGAATAAATTTTAATTACAAAATTTTTTAAAACAAATCATTTAAGTACAGACTTAAAACTGGACAAATGAAGTAGTTTAACAGCATTAAATAATTTAAGTAGGTTAGTTCTCTGTATCTCACATGCACATAAAAGTATCAACCAATTTAAGTAAATTATAAATTAACAAATCATAAACATTGATTACTATTTCTCCTTATGCTAAAAAAAAATTTACTTTTAAATACAATTAACTGTTATAGTAGTAGCATAAATCAGTTCAAATTTAATGCTTTTATTTCGGGTGAAAATATGAAATGATTAAAAAAAACTGCCAACTCCCTAAAAATAATAAAAGCAAAAATATTCATAGTTTAAGTTATACACACTGTATATAATAATAGTTAAAAAAATTTAAAAAAACTTGAAGCAGCACAATTTCATCAATATTTTATCAAAAAAGAAAAAATATTTTATCACAAGTATGGTTTCAATAAATAAATTAAAAATAATAACGTAATAGTAATGCAATTACGTAAATTTTTTCCCCTCAACTTTCCAAGGTCAAACCTAAATAAAATTTAAAAAGCAGCCTAGTATATACATATATAGACTTAAGTCGCAAATACCTAATTTAAACATAGTCATATTTAAACATTATGTCGCATAGAATGAATATTTACAATATATTTTTGAAGAAAAACCAATACTTATCAAAACACATTTGATTAAAATATATGTATATATATAGCTATGTATTTTTTTTTAAAAAATCTTAGTATCTCTTTAAGTTCAATTCATCTAGTATTATTATAATTCAAAATTTTTTATTACACCAAAGAAAAGAAATTTAATTTTAAACTAATTTTTTAGCTCTAAAATAAATGGGATTTCTTAAGAGTAAGTATCAGATAGGTAATGAACAACCTATATTTGATGATTTAATTTTAATTTACATTAGTTAAGAATAAAAGTATTTAATGTAATAAATGCTTTAATAATAAAATGCAATAAATGCTTTCAATGTATCCAAAATAGGATACATAGAAACAAGTAAAAACAGATTCAATTCAAGATAAAATATTTATAACTAATATAAAAACATGTTGACTCATAATTAATAACTCATAACTCAGATTAATTTAAAAGTAAAAATTCTATATAAAAAGAAGCATTTAATGAAACAACAGTAAATGATTTAAAATAAATTTTAAAAACGAGAATCGCAAATAATACCTAGTAAAAGAAATGCATACTAATTACATAAGCACAAATTCTTATAAAGTTAATTAAATTTGCCATCATCACGCTGAAATAATTTATAAAAATACTAAGCAAATTGCCGAAACAGAAAAAAAAATTAAGAGAAAATGTGAAAATTAACATAAATAAATCTATTAACCTATTCAGCCACCAGCATTCATGCCTAAAATTTTTCTAATAAGGATATACAATTTTCCGATTTGAAGTTAAAGAGGGAGAAAAAACATTTTATGAATTTAGACATAAAATTTAAACAAGGCCTACAAAAGAATTTCCAGGATAAAGATATTAAAAAATTATACTTAATTTAGTATGAAGAAAAATATTGCAAATCCATATCTTTAGAATAAAAAAAATAAAATTGCTATAACCCATATTTGAAAATAATTTTACTAAATCTTATTTCAACCTTTTAACCCTTGAGCTACTGAGGCAAATTTATATGAAATATTTTCTTTCTAATAAATATATACATATATGTATTAGAAATGTTCAGAACACAGAAAAATTAACTGAACTGAGCTCAGGGTTACTGATAAAAAAAAAGACTGTTATACATTGTCTGATTTTAAACCGTATCTTATAAAAATATGGAAAATAAATTAAACTTTAAAAAAGTAAGAATATAATTCGCTGTAGCAACACTCAAATATGCTATCTGAGGAGAAGATTGATTTCCATGTCTCCCCCTCCTTCCTTCTCCTTTTCTGCTCAGTTGAATGGAAATGTTCTAGAAAAATTTTTCTTGCCATAATATAATTTGCATTTAATTTGCAAAAATATCTTCTTAAATTTCCAAAACGCTTTCTTCAAGAACTATGTTTAGTGCAATTTTGAGTTCCTTATACTGCTTTAACTTAAAAATTTTTAATCTGTCTGATAGAAATTATTTTTAGAACAGAAACTAACATACTTCATTCTCCTATGACTACCCAAATGAAATGGTGAAAGCATGCAAAGTGTTGCCATAGGTAGAGTTCTACACTGCACCACTTGTAGTCTTTTACGATCACCAATTATAAAAATTAAAGAATAACATCTAATTTATTGAAAGAGAAACGATTATTTTTATCTCAGGTTTGACTCTGAAGTGACTCCACTCCAGTGGGAAAGCAATTCACAGACAGTTATCAAAAACCTTCAAATAAACTTTTATTCTAGTTTCTCTTTTTCTTTTAGTTTTAAAACCACTCCAATTTCATATTAAAATTAAAATAAGTTCTCTGCTAATAAACAATTCAAGAGACTGAAATTTTGAATAACAGTATCAAAAACATAACAATTTTGAAACACACATAATTCATTTTTGACAAAATGGACAACTTATTAAGTATTTAATTTCATAAGTTGCATGATATTATGTAACTCAAGTAGTTAGAATTTAAATTAGTTTTATGAATATAAATTATCTAACATAATTTCTACCTCTAGGTAAAGCTTGCAAATAAGCATATATTGAAGTGTCAAACAGTGCTACAAAACTAAAAAGAATTAAGTTGCTTTAACACATTTATAATTGCCTCAAAAATTATCACTAGCTTTAAAGATTAAATCCCTTCCTAATTTCTAACACCAACCAGAGCTAAACATAAATGAAGAACACAGTTTGTGAAATGAAAAACACAGGTTATGAAATGAAGAACGTGATAAAACAAATCATAAAAAACTATCACAATTCTTTTGTAATTTAGTAACAATACAATTAATATAAAAATACTAAAATAAAAAGATAGAAGTTTGTACTAAATCTATGAAATAATAATTTAGAGTTAAATTTCTATACCTAATTATAAATACACAAAAGGCTTTTGTGGGCAATAAATTTTGGTTTCCATTCTTAGGTTGCTTACTAAAAATTATGCACTTCATTTGTTAAAAATTTAATTAATTCATATTTTTAAAAACATACACTATAAATTAATAATTTCAGTTTTCTCTTAAAGTGGAAAATTTCCGCATACAGGCACCAAAATAATTGCCAACGCTTGGCATATTCAGGCAATGGCCCAAGAGAAACTAAAAAAAAACAAAACAACTATAGCCACCCCAGTACTAACTTCAATAAATATATATATTTTAAATTTTCAAAAGTTTAATATTCTTTTGGCATTAGTGGTTAACACAAATAGCTACCTATACAAAAATATCCCCTTTAAAATAATAAGTACACGTCAGGATGTAGTGGAGGGAGTTGGCGACAGAATAGCGAACCCACTGGTTTTTCAAATCAATAGCAAAATTTTACTTATTGTCAAATTAGACTTTCAAATATGTCAATTTCATTTCTCGGGAAAACTCAAAAAAATGGAAAGCAGAATCATATCAAAGGACAAGGTTTTAAAAACAATATTTAGCAAATGATATGAGAACAAGAGCAAATTCTACTGGAAACATCAACATCATTAATGATCACGTCAATTTTCCTCAACATATTTTTAAAATTTAAATAGAATAAAAATTAGTACATGTGTATGGTGTTTGTAATTTGTCTAAGCTTTCTTTGAATTGAGCAATAAAAGAGCTTAAATTAAGAAAAAAACTTGCATTAAAATGATTATAATTTGTAGAGCTTGAAATCAAATGTGGTTAGAAGTAAAAGTTTCTATAACAATTCTATGTTATTTTACAATAAAAAAAAGAAAAGATTGACTCTACTTTAGAAAATGATGGTTCGGCTCTCCGCTTAAAAGAATTAAAAAAAGAATTATTTATATTTTTACAAATGAAACAAGTAGTAAATATTAAAAAATACAAAATCAGAACCAAATTAAAAAATTATTAGAGCCCTAAAGGCTTTTGTGTTATTATTAAATGAATGTGAAAAAAAAAAAATTTTTTTTGATAAAATTAAACATTTATTCATCTTATCGTTTTTATTAAGATCATTCGAATTAAGATTGTTTCTGCCTATTTAAATTTACGAATCAAGTTATATATTTGTCACTTTTCTTTCTTTTTTTCACTTTATACTCTAATAAACTATATTTTGATTATATTGACACTTAAGACTTTACACTTAAGATGATAAAAAAAAAGTATTTTAACCTATTACTTTATGTTACTAAATCACAAGAGATATTTCCATTTAGTGCTTAAAAATTCTGAATTAATGTTAAACAATATCACTTATATGAAAAGTGAGATTATTAACAGAATATATTTTTTTTACTTTAACTCTGACAAAATATTGATATTTTGCTTTAGTTCAAAAAATATCTCATTATAGTAAAGGTTGAATTGGATAGTTTAATATTATTTCTATTTCCAAAAATAAAATTTGAAAATTTCGCTGAAATGTTAAGATTTTTAAAAGTAAAATTCATTTTACTAAGAAACTAGGATCAACTTTCAAAAGACTATGTAAACAAAATATTAAACACATTTCCGTGGTGATTCTGAATTTCTTCTCCCNTAGTTTACTTTTAATTAATAACCGCCTATTTATTTATCGAAATAAGCTATCCGTATTTGAATTTGTATGAATCAAAGGCCTTATTGATCAAATTAATTTTCATTTCAGTAGCTTAATAGTTGTTCATATGACAATCATAAATTATAGTTACGAATTTAGCACAGTAAATCTTGAAAGGGTAAAAAAAAAAAAATGCTTAAGTAGGCTTCTATGAATAATGCCTACTTTGACGAAGTCTGACATTTATGTGCATATGCAACATTGACAATCTTCTCCTAATAATTAGAAATGTCTAATTACTAGGAGGTTTTTTTGACAATTGGGGAAAATGCTCATGAATTATCACCAGATTTAAATTCTTTCAAGAAATAGATAAAAATCTTTTTGTGCATATGTAGCACTATTTTCTTATTTGTGAAATTTAGAAAACTATTGTGCCCGTGTAATTCAGTTTAGTCCTTCTTAAAAATTAGGCCTCAGAACTGCCTATATATATATATATATTTTTTAATGTGGGTGTGTTTTAATAAATAAAAAAATTTACAAAAACTAGATTAATATCTCAAACACCAACTTGTGATTTTAGATTTATTTCATTTAGAAACTTTTTTAGGCCAAATTTTTTGAAACAAACTGAATGTTGATTAAATAGATTTAAACAAATTTAAAAAAAATTAATTAAATTGATCAACATTGTAAATAGATCTGACGTTTTTTACTATGGCAAACCAGAATACTGAATAGTTACAACCATTTTTGAATTAAATAGCAATTTTATGGGCTGAGCTTCACAAAATGCACATTTCTGCATAATTAATTTTTTTTATATATAATTTGATATCCATTATTTAAATTAAACAATTGTTAAAACTAAGTTAAAGATTATGTGCACCATTTTTTGCCCCAAAATGCCACAAATTATACTCTGGAAATGATGGTTTAAGTATTTTGAAATTCAAATGGTTAGCATAATTATTAATGTCAAACTTGTGGGAAAATAAGTTTTAACAATTCTTATTCATAAATAAAATGTCTTTAAAATAAATTTCAAAGTAAAATTATGAATTAAGATACAAAACAAAATTCCCCGGCATTGGGATTAAAAAAAAAAAAAATTGGACAAAGGTTGGATTTAATAATTTCTAGTTATAAGTAATTCCCACTGGCACAACTAAAAATCTATCATAATGCAGTTAAACCATTAGACCACCACACACATATTCTCAATTAAAAAAAAGTAATGTTGGTGAATAAGTAATGCTCCCATATTTCTATAAATACATGGATACACTTCATCGTAAAATAATTCATTAATGAATGAAATATAAAAAATTTAAAGAAATTGTATTATAATCTTAACTGCCATAAAAATTTTAAGACTTTTCCTTCTTAATTTCACAAATTCAGAATAATACAACTCTTATCTATGGTGATTTTAGGAATAAGTGAATTTAGTGATCTTAGATTAAATTAAATGTATGTTATAATTTCAAATAATGGATGATAAATAATCTATGAATAAAAAATACAAGGAATACAGGAAGGATTAACTGAATTTCAGAGTTTTATCAATAAAACTCACCTGCTATTAGATGTTCTAATTATACCATTTTTAAATTATAATTAACATCATAAAATTATAATCATTTAAATAAATATTCTTTAATTATACTACAAAGACTCATCTATAAAATAGTTTTCTGGTTTGTTATCATAAAAATAAAAAATCAAATCACATTTTTGAGTTATTTCACTTCATTTATTCACGCTGTAAAAAAATTTTCAAAAAGTATTTGTTCAGCAAATTTTTCTTTTTCACAGAAAAAAAAAAATCTTATTTATTTTCATCAAAATTAGTTATTTGTCTATACTGATTATCTTTTTATTCACTTCATCATTTTCTTTAAAAAAATCAAATATTTTACCATAAAACTAAAGAAAAAAAATTTTTTTGACAATGACTCACCATAAAATCTTTCGTAAATGTAAATTTATCTTGTATGGTAAATGACAATTAGGCCCGTGTTATGCAAAATAAAGAAAAAACTTAAGAAAAAAGAATGTTAAAATACTCTAGTATGACATTTAAATGACTAAAATGAAACACTTTGACAAATGATTAATAGTCAGTAACTTTTGAAACCCTTCTAACATTATTAATAATAAATACCAATATAGATATTTTATGTACAAATCCAGTGTTATAAAGTTTTAAATAATAATTGTCATTATTTAATTTCACTTGGAATAATCCCCAAGCATCTCAATCAGTTCTGATTTATAAAAGTATACAAAATCCAATCCTCACTTGAAAATATATCTTTTACTTTTTAACTTGTTTAATATATTGACTTTTAATTGTTATAAAAACAATGCGATTTTTCATGTCTGTTTGATAGATTTATAATAAATTTAATCAGTTTATTAAATCTACAATAATAAAACAATACTATCTGAAAATCATAGCTGTCAGCAATTATACCACACTAATAAATATAATTATTTGAACTTTCAAAAAAACCAGCAACACTTACAATACAGATGTTTTTTACAAGTTCATATATCACAGGACCGATTGTTATTGTAGATTTTTACAAGTTTATATATCACAGGAGCAATTCTTGCTGTATACAGTTTTAAATTATTTTTATATAGTTTATAATAGTTCATTCAAAATAATTTGAGTTAAAAAATACTCTATACGAAATGTAAAATTTGGATAACAGTTAATTCTTAAAATAGTAAATTTTGCACAGGGGCTTTTAAAAATACCTTTCTTTTTTTAAAAAAAAATTTCAGCTTCATGTTAATGCATTTAAGATTAAAAATACACAGCACTAAATATTTCTAGAATTAAAAAAATTATCTTAATCAAACTACTCACACTATTCAACATACTTTTGACGGAAATTGAAACGATGTGTCTGATGTATAAGATTTCATAATTGACTAAGATAATGAAACTCGAATTATTTATATGATGGATAAAATGTTACAGTTAAAGGAAAATATTGCATGCGTTTTGCTTAGTGACATAAACAGTTTTTCTTAGAGTGGTTTTAATTTTACAAATGATAATTGCGAGGCAGAACTCTTTGGTACCAAGCTGATGTAAAATAAAGATATAAAAGAAGCTCATCAACTGTCTGATAAAAGTCGTTTCTCAGGCGGTTCTGTCTTGTGCGATGGGGCGCACGTACAACCGTGTCCCGTACACTTGGCGTAGCAGCCCTCGAACGTGTTTAAGAGCCCTTTGAGGGGCCAGTAACAGCATAAACAGGGCAGGGGCAGCGCCAGACATCCAAGACAACCCCACCTCAACCATCGATGATGAGGGGAGCATGAGCATGGTTTGTCGGCACAAGAGACATCGGTATCCATCTCGTAGTCTTTCGCCCAATGATAGAATAGCCCCTTAACACAACACATACACGAACAATAATCCACAATATTAGAAGCGGAACATAAACACTTGTTGTTACAAATCCATTTTTGAGGCAAATGCCGTGGATTCCGACATGCCTCACATTTACAACGTCTGCATTGCCGGCAAATAATTGTATCTCCATGCAGCTGCTTTACTGTCGGCTGAGCGGAGACGGGGGGCCGGTTCACCTCTTTCAAACGAGTAGGTTTAGGTAAAGGAGTATCAATATATTCATTCAGAATGCGAACCACTCCAGACCTTGGTTGCGCAAGAGTTATGAAATCACTATGACCGGCCACATTATTGTCAGTTTCTCCGCCATCTTGTTCCATGTAGCCAACGAAACAACGATAAAAATCGCCTTCGCGAACCAATCCTTGTTGTTTTACATGGCTTTCTTTCAATCAACGCACTGTCCATTTAATTCCTAAAATCTTTGAACGGTCATTTTTAACCACCCAAAATTTTACTATCCATTAGGACAGCATTGCGTAGTACGATAACTACAATGATACTCACACTAAACTCAAATGACTGCTTACAACAGCGCCCCTACAGCTTTCGAGTGAATCAACCAACAGGAAGCTCCCGCGCTCGCTGACGTTTTTATGAATGGAATGGCATTGAATGAAACTCAGAAACCGTAAAAGAAAAAAGAAAAGGAAAAAAAAAACAATAAAAAAAAANAAAAAAAAAAAAAAAAAAAAAAAAAAAAAAAAAAAAAAAAAAAAAAAAGAATGAATAAATTCAACAAGTATTCTCAAGGAAAATATTCCCAAACTAATCCCCACACGATTGTTAAATTACAATTTTTCTTTTGGTTGATTTGGCTTTGTTTGATAGTTACTATTACGTATCATTTCACTTTGCTTTTATTTTATATTTTGTTGAGACAGAAGACTGTTTAAAGTAAAATAAATTACCCTGAATTTTTTTTTTCTAATCGGTTTGTTGATTTTGATTGAAAGTTCCTTCTGTTTTGAGGAAATAGTAAAATAACATTTTGATTTTAAGTTAGGATGTATTGCGGAAAGAGGAAGAAAAAAATAAATGAACTTGAAAATTAGGTCGTTGACAGGACAATATTTTTGAGGGGGGGGATAAATTGAGCAACTGCCCCAGGGTTGCTTAAACTTATGTGAATGCAGAAAGTGCTTATACTCCCCTTATTTTTTACAATAATTTTATTTATTGCTAATTAATTTTATTTAAAAATAATTAGATCGAAACTGCAATTTGAATAAATTGAAACGCTTCTTTAAATATAAGGTAATATTTAAATTTCATTAATTTTTAAAACGTAATAACTTTACACACTTTTTTTCACGCCGTATAAATATTCAATAACGATATCTGTTTGTTTTTTCATGCGTCATAAAAAATTTATAGCGGGATACTTTTTTTCCATACCGTATAAATAACTCTTTAATCTCAAAATTTTTAATTTATTTTCTGAAATTTGCTTAAAATTCATTTAATTAGCTGTGAATAGGCAAAAGGTAAATTTTCTCAGGGAAAAATTTGTAAGTTTATCGTTATTTTTCAATAAAAGTTTAGTTTTCTTAAAATTTACAAAAAAATGCTGAATGATTTAGTTTAGTGAAATTATGAGAGTGTTTTGCATGGTCATCATAAGCGTCCATTTTTAACCGTTTGACGCAGAATTTTTAAGCTTATTTTCCATACTTTTTTCATTATTTTGTATTAATTTAGGTCAAAATAAGGGAAAAATATTTTATTTAGCATTTTAAAATTTTATATGAAATACATCACGAAACACTTGTGTCTTTTTCTGCGTTAGAGGTAAAATTTTCCTAACACGGCCTCTTCCGTACAATAATTTTTCATATTTGCACCTATTTGCAGTTATTTAGGTCTAAGAGAAAAACGTTATTCATCACTGAAATTTCTTTAATTTACAAAGTCAATTATTGATAAATTCTTTTTAATATGGATGGAAAAAATTTGTAATTACTTTATTTATATTTTATAATTTAGTACAAATATAATTCCGATAATTAAACAGATTTTTTAGTAACTATTAGACTGTTTTATATAATAAAGAAATGTAAAAACATTTTTTTTTTTTTTTGGTGATTAGAGCTTCAGAAAAAAATACGTAAAAGGGACATCGTTGCCCATCTGCGTCAAAGGGTTAAAGGGTGATGCAAAAAATGCTTATCAATAGTTCTTTAAATTTCATGTATAAAAAATAAAAATTAACGAAATCTATAGCTTTGTTTTTACATGGGATTTGGCAGAAAGTAATGTTAATATGAAAAAAAAGAAAAAAAAACTTGCATTTACACATAAAACACTGCACTTAGTGTTTAATCATAGTAATCGACGGCGAAATAGTTCAACGCTATTATTTCCTATAAGTGGCCATAAGATGACTTTAAAAAAGAAAAAGAAATCGAAGTAATTTTATTTCCCAAAATTGAAATTATAAACTGAAACATATTTATACGAAGGATCACAAATTTTGGTTTTTATTTATCAAGCAATATTTAAAAAATTTACATTAAAATTTTAATTAGCTTACATTATCATGTGAGTAGAAACATAAAATTTGTGCTATTCCATAATGCTTACCGTTTCTCAACATAGTTTTAGAAAAAAAATATTAATTACCTCTGATAATTTTCTTAATCCTATTCTAAGTTCAGCATATTTCCTGACATAAGTCCATACAATAAGAAGGTTCTCTCGATTTTAATGCATATTACAAAAAAAAAAGAAAAAAAAAGGGTATATATCAGAGTTGTTTACTATACATAAATTAGCATGCAAAGCTAATTTATGTGTACTAGCGTGTGCACTATCATTATACGGGGTGGTGTAAAAGCAGAGACCGATTAAGACAAATAAGGACCCAAGGCCTATTTCATTTTCCGGGCCCCTTACGGTTTGTTGTTATGATTGTTGTTTATTAATATGAATGTATGTATAAAGCAAATTAGTAGATTTTTTTTAAACAGATATTCGCACGTTAAACCCTATGTAAGCGACTTGGCTCTAATACTACAAATCTAGAAAAAAAAAAGGAAAAAGGAGAAGTGGAGAAAAAAAAGTAAGAAAAGAAACAAAAAAAAAAATGAAAAAGAAAATATGCTTTTTCTTTGGTGCTTGAAGCTTGCTTGGTGTAAAGATAAAAGTTTCGAGATTATTTAGATTATGAGTAAATACACAAAACGTTTCATTGCTAAAGAAAAAAAAAATTGCAGGATTTAACTTAATCAAATATCTTTTATCAACCATATTGTACAATATTAGGGAATTTTAGAATTGCTTCCTGTTAAGAAAATCACGGATAAATAGAGTGTATTTTTGAAAAAAATCAGTAAAATATGTAAGTTTATATTTTTTTTTGTAAAATCATTGAAATTTTTTAAAAAAGAATATTACAATTTTCTGAAAAGACTGTCGTGAAATTTTAAAATTATTTTGATTATAGAAAGTTAAAGCAGCTGAAATTGATATATAATTGTTAAATATTTAAATTTTTTTGAAAAAAACTGCCATGAAATTTTAAAATTATCTTTTTTACGTAAAGTAATGCCTCCTAAAATTGATAGATGATTGTAAAATATTATAACTGTCTTGAGCAAACTGCTGTGAAGTTTTTAATTTTATTGCTAATTATCAATCATTTTGTACAATATTAAGAAAGTTTCGAATTTGTTTTTTGTTGAAGGAAAAAAAGTGTTAACTTTTAAAAATCAGTGATATTTCTTAAAAAAAATATATATTTGTTTGGAAAAAACCAGCCGTAAAATTTTAAAACTATTTTGTTAAAAGAAAGTTGAAGTTGCTAAAATTGATATATAATTGTCAAAAATCATAATTTTTTTGAAAAGAACTGTCATAAAAATTTTCAATTATTTTGTTTACAGAAAAGAAAGTGCGAGCTCCTAAAGTAGATAGATAATTGCTGAATATTATAATTGTTTTAGAAAAACTGCCGAGAAATTTTAAAATTATTTCGTTATTAGAAAGTTCGAAGTTATATATATATNTATATATATTTATATATATTAAATTTTCAAATTATTTTGTTCTTAAAAGGTTACAGCTGGTAAAATTCTAACCATAAAAATGAAACACTTAATTTGTCCAAATATTTTATTTTATATAATCAATGTTTCCTCTCCTTCGTTTTTCCCCAAACTTTTACTTGTTAAGAGATATTTCCTAAATACACCTTAATTATAAAAATGTATTTTTGTAGCTGTAAGACGCACGATATGATTACCTAATATGGCCGAGTAAGAACTTTTAATTTTCTTGCAATAACGATCAAAAAACTAACACCTCCACATCAACTATGACTCTTCATATCCTTTCCTAAAGGAAATGTAAGACAATTTTATCCACAAGATATTTCAATTGGTGTCACTGTCTGACCTACAAAGCTAAATACTTACTTAGGAAGGCAGGACAAACATCGATTCAATATTCAAGTTACTATTTCTCAATGATTTGAGGAGAAAATAGAAAATTAGTGCATTTTGATTCAATATTCAAGTTACCATTTCTCAATGATTTGAGGAGAAAATAGAACATTAGTGCATTTTGATTCAATATTCAAGTTACTATTCTCAATGATTTGAGGAGAAAATAGAAAATTAGTGCATTTTAATTCAATATTCAAGTTACCATTTCTCAATGATTTGAGGAGAAAATAGAAAATTGGTGCATTTTTTAAGGCAAATTTTTTCTTTTTTAAAATATCACATTTTTCTTATTCTCTTGACTCAGAAAAATCTTCGAGCTCTAATTGGAACATAAATAGATGAAATAAAAAATGTACTAATATTTTTTAAGATTCTTTTAGTTATCATAAAAAATTTTTGTCTAAAAGTTACACAGGGAATTATCATTTTTGTTTTGTATTATATCCGTTGATGAACAGCCGACCCAATTTTTGGGTTTACGATTACTAATGTTCAACTCAGAAGCTTTTGAACCAATCCAGAAGACAAGGAAACTCCTGGATCAGTACCCCCAGAGGTATTGATTTGTTGTGGGAACATGGAGGACTTTGAGACTCGACAGATTTAACGTGCATCAGTCACCATTTCCTACACGGGTCACCATTTCCTATCAGTCACCATTTCCTACACCATTTCCTACACGCCCTAATCGAATTTTTTTATTCTTTGTTATTTTAAAATAATAATTAATAACTATAGTTAATATTTAGAAAAATCTAAAGCACGCTAATTCTATTTTATATTTTATAACCGTTACTGAAGAGGCATAAAAAACTTTTGATTAAAAGTTGCTTCGGGGATTATCTTTCAGAGGTATTTCGGATTTTTCATTCTTTGTTATTTTAAAATAATGATTAATAACTATTGTTAACAACATCTCGAACAATATACAAATATAAATAATTAAAGGACTTGGGGCGATTCAGTAATAAGGCACACTTTTCCAACTGTGACATTTTTGCATCAAACTTTTTCTTACTTTTGTTTCCAGATAGATAGTTTTAATGTTTTAGGAATTTTCACGTGATAACATCGTGATAAACAGAAGCATTTTGCTACCTACATGGAAATTGTAAACTAGTTT